ATTTTGAACCATTTTTTGAAGTTTAAAGTGTAATACATATCGATTTTTTATCCGAATTTAAGAATTGCTTCAAAGTTTTAGCGTGAAATCGTGCATTTTTTCTAATGAAATTGTTATTATAAGATAAGCAATCTGAGTTTTTTTGAATAATATGTCACTACACATGATAGAGCGTTACGTGCTGAAAAGTTACGCTTCGTTCTGAAAGTGGTAATGAAGTTTTATTAGAATTCATCAAAAAAACGTATGAAAATAATCGTATGTCAAAATGTGAGCACTTCTCAAAATTTGCTCACATTTTGACTATTTTTGTGAGATCTTCCTCACAATTTTTTGACAAACGTACAAAAAAAGTGCCAAAATGTGAGCAAATGTGAGCAATTTTTATATCTCATTATTGAGTAAAAGCATTTGATTTTCTTAATTTACCAAAGTTAGAATATGTTATTTTCCAATTTTAAAGCCATATATGATTCCCAAATGTGAATTTAAGTTTAATCTTTATTGAAACATTATAACGAATCGAAAAGCATGATAAATATTGAACCATATGAAATAGTACCCAAGAAGATAAGTTCAATCTGGAAAAGATAAGAGAATATACAGATGATGAAAAAAATATTTAAAGCTAGGCTGTTTACTTGTGATTATCTGCCAGTCAGATGATATACAATGCTTTTTAAAAAAAAAAAAAAAAAAAAAAAAAAAAAAGGTAGTGGGGCTTCCAGGCACTTCGTGCCTTCTAGCCCTGAGGATGTTTTGTCAAGACTTCTTCATCGTAAATGTTTTGTCAAGACTTCTTCGTAAAATCAGACAAAAATAATGTTTATGTTAGAATGTTAGATCTAACCTCTTTTCTAACCTCTTTTCTAACATCGTAGAAAACTCATGATTTCTTCGTAAATGTTTTGTCAAGACTTCTTCATCGTAAATGTTTTGTCAAGACTTCTTCATCGTAAATGTTTTGTCAAGACTTCTTCGTAAATGTTTTGTCAAGACTTCTTCGTAAATGTTTTGTCAAGACTTCTTCATCGTAAATGTTTTGTCAAGACTTCTTCGTAAAATCAGACAAAAATAATGTTTATGTTAGAATGTTAGATCTAACACGTTTTCTAACATGTTTTCTAACATCGTAGAAAACTCATGATTTCATCGTAAATGTTTTGTCAAGACTTCTTCGTAATGAGCGTAAATGACCCAAAAATAATGTTTATGTTAGAATGTTAGATCTAACACGTTTTCTAACATGTTTTCTAACATCGTAGAAAACTCATGATTTCATCGTAAATGTTTTGTCAAGACTTCTTCGTAATGAGCGTAAATGACCCAAAAATAATGTTTATGTTAGAATGTTAGATCTAACACGTTTTCTAACATGTTTTCTAACATCGTAGAAAACTCATGATTTCATCGTAAATGTTTTGTCAAGACTTCTTCATCGTAAATGTTTTGTCAAGACTTCTTCGTAAATGTTTTGTCAAGACTTCTTCGTAAAATCAGACAAAAATAATGTTTATGTTAGAATGTTAGATCTAACCTCTTTTCTAACCTCTTTTCTAACCTCATGAATTTTCATGAACTTTCTTTACAAAGTCTTTACGATGAAGAACTTTACAAAGTCTCAACAAAACATTGACAAGAAAGTTCATGAGAAAGACTTTACAAAGTCTTTACGATGAAGAATTTACGAAGAAATCTCAACAAAGTCTTTACGAAGAAGTCTTGACAAAACATTTACGATGAAATCATGAGTTTTCTACGATGTTAGAAAACATGTTAGAAAAGAGGTTAGATCTAACATTCTAACATAAACATTATTTTTATTGAATTCCGTATGAAATTTCATGAGTTTTGTATGTTTTAGACCATGTTAGAAAACATGTTAGAAAACATGTTAGATCTAACATTCTAACATAAACATTATTTTTATTGAATTCCGTATGAAATTTCATGAGTTTTGTATGTTTTAGACCATGTTAGAAAACATGTTAGAAAAGAGGTTAGATCTAACATTCTAACATAAACATTATTTTTGTCTGATTTACGCTCATTACGATGAAGAAATCTCAACAAAGTCTTTACGAAGAAGTCATAACAAAGAAATTTTATTGGTAAGTAAATGTGGTTTGAAATAGGACTACTTGTTTTAGGTTTTTTCCATTGTGTCATTTACTTATTTGACGTGGCAGAAAGATATAGAGAATATGAAGATGAACCAATGCCTGCAAATGTCCAGTATATGTACTCGTAAGAGATATTTTTATCTAATATTAAATGGACGCACAGAACTTAGCGAATGCACAGCAACCTGGACAACCAAACCCAGAGAATATTCCAAATGAAGTTAGAATACAAACTGCAATGGCAAACTATGGTCAGGTGCCAACAGATGTACAAATGCAAACTGCCATGTCAAATGACGCTGCGTTAGGTTTGCCACCATGGTATGCAAATATGAGATGGAAAGAGTTTTATACAAACCCTGAAGTGGGATATAAACAACTCTATGCAGATGACGCGAACACAGGAGTTGACCCAGAATATGTTTTCTACCAGAGGAGAAACAGAATGTATGAGCTCCAGTTAAAGAATGCTATGGAACTCAACAGGAAACGTAAGAGACTAGGTGGACATTAGATTTTTACATATAGTAAAATGGGTTTTCTTCAGTAGTATTGGAAACTTCTTTCGAAATGTTGGAAGAGGTATATGGAATGGAATAAAATCTGTCGGAAGAGGAGTATGGAACGGTGTCAAAAATATTGGTAAAAGAGTAGGTCAGTTTGTTGGTATTATACCTAAAGACCCTGAACCAGAAGAGCAAGCTCCTGTTATACAACAGCCTGAACCTGCACCACAGTCTAGTTGGCAACCAAATCCAACACCTCAACCGTATTAAAAATTATATTTTTACCGTTCGATAGTAGTTGTATATGAAACTAAGTTCTAAGTAAAACGCGTGGTATAATGGAATTATTCTCTTTCTTCCATCTGTAGTAAACCATACTTGAAAGTCTGAAATACTTCCACTTGGTGTTCATATAGCTTTGTAGGTTTTTCGTAAAAGTCATTTGCCAAGCATAAAAAAGAGTTTTGTGCACCAGAAAATGAAGCATGAACTATAATAGCATCTTGGTCGAAAACATTTTCATATGTTCCATTAGGGTTTTCGACTTCATAATAGTCCGGGTGTACTGGATACCATGCAGGCTGATTTAACATCCTCAAAAATCTATGCCATGCCAAGTTGTTATATTTTGTAGAAATATAAACGTTTTCTCCAAGGTCTTCTATTTTATTGATTTTAACAGTTGCATTTTTCCTGTCATATATAATATCGAGATGGTACTCTCCTTCGTCAATGTTATACTGCTTTGCATATTCGAGATAGATATCGTTTATTTTTTCTTGAAAAGCTTGAAGAGTTGTTTCTAAGTTTACAAGCAAATTCACTTGTAAAAGTTTTCCCTGTTCAAATTTCTCATACGTACGTTTTTCTTTGTTATAGTATCGAACTTCAAAAGCGACCGTAAATGGGAAACCATGTATGGCTTCTGAAATGAACTTCATTCTACGAAAGCCAACAGCTTTTGTGACGGATGGGTCTCTTAGCCATCTCAATGGGTAGTCAAAACGATAGCCTTCATGCTTTACGGTCTCTGTCTCAAACTTTTGACCGACATTCGTAAAAAGTTCATCTAATGGTTTAGTTGTAGCAACTCTTGAATTTTCTTTTTCTATTGAAAGCATATTTTATCTAGAATAAAAATGTCGAATGAAACAGCGTCTATGAGAGAAATACAACACAACCGACAACTCATTGTACAAGCTCTAAATAAGAACACAACAAACTTTTCAAACTATTCTAAGATATCTGAGTCATTGAAAGAAGGAAACTTAAAACTGACGATAAACCCATTGACAGACGAGTTTCTGTTTCAAGACAGTAAGAACCATACTGTTTGTATAAATCCAACAAAAAGAACTTTAAACGAGAAACCTATAGATGAACTTCTTTTGAAGGCAGATATTGACAACAAAGCTGACAAAGAGTATGTAGATGCAACAAGAGACTATATTCTCGCATGGACAGATAGAACATACCCACAAAAACATCATACACATAACATCTATGACGTAGATGAACTACCAGCAATGTTAGATGACAAAGCGGATAAAACATATGTTGACAATAAAATGTCAAGTGAAGTGACAAGAGCTGACAAAGAATATTCTAAAAAGACTCATACACATACCATTGCAAATATTACAAACTTACAAGAAACCTTAAACAGGAAAAGTGACGTTGGACATACACACGATTTCTTCGCAACTGTTGGTATAGAAAATATTGAAGGAACGGTTGAAGAAACTGGTGGGGATGTATTAAATTGGAAACCTCCTAACTTTCCACAAGGTTTAACATCGGATGAAGACATAACAACGATGAGATACATTAGATGTAGAAATGTCTATGTCATGGAGGATGAAAACAAAGTTAAATTCACTGCTCAAGATTTATATGATAAAAAAGCTGACAAAACAGAGCTTCAAACGTTAAAGACAGAAATACTTCAAACAGTATATCCTATAGGTTCTATTTACACGTCAATGAACTCTACCAGACCAGAAGTAGTACTTGGTTTTGGAACTTGGACTCAAATAGTCGACAGGTTTTTGTATTGTGCAAACTCTTCAAAGGAAACAGGTGGAAGTAAAACGATTTCAGGTGAAAACTTACCTGCGCATAGTCACTACGTAGATTTAAGTACATCTCAAGCAGGTTGGCATAAGCATAAATTTTGGGATTGGTCAGCAATGAAAAAAGGTAAAGGATATGATGTTAAAGACGACGTTCAGTTTGCTATAAATTGTTTCTGGGGTAACACTCAGGGAGATGGAAACCATACACATCGCGTTTCAGGATATACGCAAACAACGGGACAAAGTAAAGACTACATGCCACCTTACATGACAGTTTACGCATGGTATAGAAATGCTTAGTCGTCATTTTCAACTTCTTTAGCATATTCGTCAGGAGTTGTCTTATATTTGTTAGGAACTGTCTTTGAAAGTATACCACCTTGAACTTTGACAAGTTTGAAACGAGGTCTGACAATAGTAGTTTTATCTTCTGCTTGCAGTTTGTACATTTTGCCATGTTTGCCTAAAACTTCATAATATTCTCTTGTATACTTTCTTCTATTTTTACGAACACGAAGGTGAGTACCTGTCGGGTTCCCATTGTTGTCATAGTCAATAGTATTTTCATATGGGTCGCGTTTAGGTATTTCTATTTTTACTTTGTCACCTTTCTTAAGTTTGAAGCCCGGCATTCTTTCTTGTTTGTCTCTTTTGACTAAATTGTTAAATATATAGTCTTTCTCTAAGTCAGGGTTGTTTTTCATTTCTTCGGGGGAGTGGTTTCCCAAACCTTTTTGTTTACGGGTATTGTAAATATTTAAAACTTGTCTCATCTTTGCCATGGAGAAGTGTCTATATTTGTCGTCATATGACATTTCATCTACCTCACCACCTTGTGGTTGGTTTAAGTCTCTTAAGATTTTTATACAACTGTCAATGACACCAAGAGCAGAATGGTTTTGGTCGACAATGAAATATTGGTTTACATTTTTTGAACGCAGATAGTTTTTAATATCGTCTGATTTGAAAGAACTTTCACAGTCAGATGTCAGTTTTGTTGGATGGTATTTGTCAACGAATATTGTCAAAGCAGTTTTCACATCTAAAATATTTTTGGACCATAATGGTATGGCTTCACAGTATCTTGTGTTTTGACCGACAAATATTAGCCAGTATGGTGGTCCATCTTCTCTATATCTCGGAATGTTTTCCAAGATATCCATAAACCAAGCATTTGGTGTTGAACTAAAGATTTTTACCATGAGTGCTTTCTTTGTTGCCTTAGAAACATAGGGGTCCTTGTTTGGATTCGTCATTTTTATCCTATAAGAAATGGGTTTATTTGGCGCATTAGCAGGAGTTGCATCCAGATTTTTACCCGCAGTGGGAACAATAGCCAGAGGTGTATTTGGAGTTGGAAGGAAGATTTTGAGTACATTAGGTATACTTAAAGAGAAAGCACAACCTATTATACAAACTGTACAGAAAGGTTGGGATGTAGCACGAGATGCAACAAATCTTATTCCAAATCCTGAAACAAGAGGAAAAGTTCAAGGATGGATGGACAATGTAGGAAGACAAGCAGGAAACTATTATAACAAAGCAAATGACTACTATAACCAAGCAGGACACTATATGGACCAAGGTGAAAGATTCTTTAACAGAGGATATAACCATGCACAACAATGGGTAAACAATAACCAACCTCAACCGCCTCAAACTTGGGGAATGTAAAGTTTTTTACTGAGATGAAATGAACAATACAGCATTGAGACAAATGGGTTCAAGATGGATTTGTCGACTTCCAGCAGTTACACCACCACGTGTTTGTCAAGTCCTCCCTATACCTCAGGAAGTTTTAGACCGACTTAAAAAACAACAACAACCAGTTGAAAACAAACCAAACTAAAATTTTTTACTGAGATGAAATGACCGAAGAAGTTGAAACGGTAGATTTGACACCACAAACAAAAAGTTCAGAACCATTGTCAAAACCTGTCAAAGAACTTACAGATGAAGAGAAAAATTCAATAATAGAAGGTGCCAGGTCTGGAAATACAAACCCTAACTACAAAGTCACTTTTCATAGAAATGGAACGGCTAGTATCTCAAAAAAGAAACAGACCCTCACAAATAAAATATTGAAGTCTGAAGGAGCTTTCGAGACAACAGATGGAAAAGTTTACTTCACCGATCAGCAGTTCATTATAGAACATCTCATTGACTTAGAGTCGAAATATTCTAAACTTTACAACAAACACAAAAAGTTGAAAGGAAAACAAAAACAGATGGCATATGATATTTACGAAGATGTTGACGACACAACTGTTCCTGCAGGTGAGGTAAAGTCAGAGGAACCGAAAAGTGACGAAAAACCGATAGAAGAAGAGAAACCAAAAACTGAAGATAAACCAAAACCAAAGTTTAGTTTCCAAACTAAACCAAGTCAACCTTCATTAGCTGGTATGGGTTGGCGTCAAAGACTTATGGCAGCAGGTGGTTATGTAAAGTAAAGAAAAAATATGTTTTTTTAAAACAAAATATTTTTTTAAAACAAAATATTTTTTTATTTTATTTGAAATGTACGCCGAGTTTGTTGGAAAAGACTGTTGGAAAACTTGTTTGTTAGATGAGAAATATGAAATTCACTGTTGTGAGTCATTCGAAGTCAGAAACAAAAAGACAAAGAGAGTTTTAAGCGAATGGGAGCAAAATAACGGATATGCTAGGATGAGGATTGGTGGGAAACACTATCTTAAACATGTTGTCATTGCAACTCATTTTATACCGAATCCTAACAATCTACCTCTTGTAGACCATATAAACCGTATAAGAAACGACAATAGACTTGAGAACTTACGTTGGGTTACTCGTTCTGAAAACAATAAGAACATAGGCAAATTTCGAGATATTGTATTCGAATTTGTCGACGAACTAGAAGATGAAGCAATTGAAATTACAGACTATGGTAAGCATACGTTTGAGTTTTACTACTATAGCGAAGAACAAGACTCTTTCTACTTTTATACCGGCGTAAACTATAGGAAATTACAAGTATGTTTTACTAAGGAAGGCTATGCTTATGTAAACACTAGAGATACAGATGGAAAACACGTTCAAATACTTCTTAACAAATTCAAGAAGCTATATGGCATACCATTTTAAAACATTTTTTAAAACAGTATATTTTTACATATATTAAATGTTTCAGGTTGAAAAACAAAGAACAAAAGTAGCAGATACAAAACCGTTAGACTATATCTTTACAAACGCTGGTAGGACTATATCAGATGAAGAAATTTCATCCGGCTCCTACCGCTTTGACTTTCCAATTCGTTGGCTTCAAAGTCCTTCAGATGCAAAGGCAATAGGATTTAGAAGAGTTTTGTTTTCAAAAAGAACTAACGCATTTATGTTCGCAGTATATTTTCATGGTCAGTATAGAGGTTCTGATGGTCTAATAGACAATTTGATGAAATGAGAATCTTTACAGTTCGTTCAGACGAAAGTCTTGAGAAGACTCTAAATGACTTTCAAACTCAAATAAACAAATACTACTGGGAATTTCAAGAAAAATACGATTCTTTACTAAATGGAACATACTATCTGAAACTAGAATATGACAAGATGAACTCCACAGTTTCATTTCAAAGGATTGAAAATAACCCTCCAAGAGATACACAGTTTTTATTTTGGCAAGTAGACAAACGTTCTTGGGCACAATTTCTTCGGTTACTAAACCAGAACGAACCATTACCACCTGACGGTCCGTTCTGGTTTATACGCCCACCAACAGATTTGACAGTTTATAGAAACGTGTTTGACCCTCAAAATGTCATGTGTCATGCAAGTTTCAGTTCAAGCAACAATAGTTTTCTTTGTATTGGTAAGGACTTTTATGACTTTGCTTCTAAATTCTACGAACCACCTAGTAACAGTTTCTCTGACTTTCAAGTTTGGTTCACAACAAATGGTGTGCAACATATTGTTCCATTGTACTACGACTTTTATCTCGAATTGTCTTTCATATATAACTACGGAGAAGTGCTGAAAAAGTATTGAAAAATAATGTTTAGGGTAGAATGTTAGATCTAACATGTTTTCTAACATGTTTTCTAACATCGTAGAAAACTCATGAATTTTCATGAATTTTCATGAATTTCATCGTAAATGTTTTGTCGAAACTTCTTCATCGTATATTTTTTGTTAAGATTTCATCGTATATGTTTTGTCAAAACTTCTTCATCGTAAATGTTTTGTCAAGACTTCTTCATCGTAATGAGTGTAAATCAGACCAAAATATAATGTTTATGTTAGAATGTTAGATCTAACATGTTTTCTAACATGTTTTCTAACATAAACATTATTTTTGCTGAATTCCGTATGAAATTTCATGAGTTTTGTGTGTTTTAGACCATGTTAGAAAACGTGTTAGAAAACGTGTTAGATCTAACATTCTAACATAAACATTATTTTTGCTGAAAAAAATGACCAAATTTCATGAGTTTTGTATGTAAGGACAGAAATGTCAGTCGAAGCAAAAACATTCACGAACAAATCTAATGGCGAAACATTCACAAAAGGCACTTACAACGGTATTGAAGTCTTACGTAGAGACAAGGATGGTTATATAAATGCAACAAAGATGTGTCAGCAGTTTAGGAAAGACTTTAGAAGGTTGTTGGAAAATAAGTCCTGGGAAGAGTATTTTAAGGCATTTTGTGAAGAATATACCAACCCGCGGAAAACGGCGGGTTGCTTTTTATACAAAGTTCATGCAGGAATTCCGGATGAAATCAAACAGGTTAGAGGAATGTATGTAGACCCAAGACTCGTAAACTATATAGCAATGTGGGCTTCTCCAAAATATTGCATAGCAGTTGGAAAAATTATGGACTCCATAGACAAGAAAGTTCATGAGAAATTAGATGAAGAAGAACTTGAAGATACAGTAGAGAATGCAAAACCTTTGTTTGAACAAGAAGTTGGAAAAATGTGCGAAAAACAATTAGAACATGAACGTGAGATATGTTCTGGTTATAGAGACTCGCCATACGAACTAGACCAATGGGAACAAGAAGATTTAAAGAGAGAATTTAGAGAATATGAACTCGCTAAGATAGCATTAGAAGCTGCAGAAAAAGAAGTTAAAAGTTTGGGGTCGTTTTGTACAAAAATATTGTGAGTAAATGAACCATTTATTTTTATTGAATTCAAAAAAAATAATGTTTATGTTAGAATGTTAGATCTAACATGTTTTCTAACATGTTTTCTAACATGGTCTAAAACTCTTGAATTTTCATGAATTTCATCGTAAATGTTTTGTCGAAACTTCTTCGTAAATGTTTTGTCAAACATGAACGTAAATGTTTTGTCGAAACTTCTTCGTAATGAGCGTAAATGACCCAAAAATAATGTTTAGGTGAAGAGGTGAGATTTCACCTCTTTTTTCACCTGTTTTTTCACCTCATGAATTTTCCCGAAATAAAAAATAAAGTTAGTTTTATTTAAAAAATATTTTTTATTTTTATTGTAAGAACATGTTAGCAACAACAGCACCAAACTCTTTAGTTATGAACCCAACTTCAATGTTAGTAGAAATGAAAAGCTTCATTCCTTCTTCATATACTTTTGAAACAGAAATCCAGAAGATAAAGCAAGAACTTTTAACAAGTAATTTAGACTGTAGTGCGAAAGATGAAACAAATGAACACCATTTACCTAAACTTCCTGAAATACAACAACAAAAACTCACTATTCCTGAATTCGACGAAATTGAAGTGAAACCAACTGACTCAGTAGAAATAAAGAAGTTCATACGAAAGGTAAATTATGAATTCCTTGGTTTTCATTGCAACCATAAAGTTATGGACAAAGATTGCGACATGGTATATAAGAATGTTTCTGACATATATAAATCCGGGGAGTTTAAGACCTACGACAACTTTGTTTCATTAGTTGCAAAATGTGTATGGCAGATAAGAGATAAAGATAGAAGAGGTAAGATATGGAATGAACAGATAAAACCCGCAACTTTTGAGTTAAAGAGAGCAATTGACGCCTTGGTTGTTTTAGCAGGTAAGGTTTCAGAATATAACGCAAAAATGAACCCGCAATGTTCTAAATGTAAAGCAGCAATGAGGAGATATAACTACTCCGTCAAAGAGATAGAAAGAATGCGAAACGACTATGCAGATTTAAAGAAAGAAGCAGAAAAACCAGCAGAAAATAAAATGGATATGTTAGCATTTCTGAACAAAAACTATCCAACAGCAGAAGATTTCCTATTATCTGACGTCAAGAAGAAGTATAAAGAAACTTTCGGTATCGTTAAAACATTCGATGTACTGACAGAAGAAATAGAAGCTACGAAACTGTTTAGAGTCATGAACCATCGCAACATATACCATGTAAAACGCTTGTAAATAGTTATGTTAGAAAACATGTTAGAAAACATGTTAGAAAACATGTTAGAAAACATGTTAGAAAACATGTTAGAAAACATGTTAGATCTAACATTCTAACATAAACATTATTTTTTGCTGAATTCAGCAACAAAATTCTGAGTAAAATGGCATATGGCTTGTGTCAAACCGTTGAGTTTTCACAAAATTTAAAAAATAACGTTTACCATGTGAAACGTTTATAAAATAACTGGGGTAGAAATGAGGTGAAAAAAGAGGTGAAAAAACAGGTGAAATCTCACCTCTTCACCTAAACATTATTTTTGTCTGATTTACGCTCATTACGAAGAAGTCTTGACAAAACATATACGTTTAGTTTCGATGAAATCATGACAAAGAATGTACGATGAAGTCTTGACAAAACATATACGAAGAAGTCTTGACAAAACATTTACGAAGAAGTCTTGACAAAACATTTACGAAGAAGTTTTGACAAAACATGTACGAAGAAGTTTTGACAAAACATGTACGAAGAAGTTTTGACAAAACATGTACGATGAAATCATGAAATTTCATGAGTTTTGTGTGTTTTAGACCATGTTAGAAAACGTGTTAGAAAACGTGTTAGATCTAACATTCTAACATAAACATTATTTTTACTGAAAAATGACCAAAAATCATTATATAACTGTTATTTTTTTACGAAGAGAACTTTTGCACTTCGTCAAAAAAATCCCTGAAATCATATCTTTTATACAAGATAGAAAATCTTACTCGCCCAAAACTCATGAAAATCGTAAAAAATTGCGAGTAGGGAAAAAAACCTGGTCGCCTAAAACTCATGAAAATCGTGAAAAAATGACCAAATTTCATTATATAACTGTTATTTTTTTACGAAGTGAACTTTGACACTTCGTCAAAAAAATCCCTGAAATCATATCTTTTATACAAAATAGAAAAAATAAAGTTAGTTTTTTTAAAATATTTTTTTTTATTTTGTATGTAAGAACAGGAAATGTTAAACATTGAGTTTGAAACAGTTAAAAAGATAGACAATGACACCAAAGTGGTTAGAATTGGTGATTTAAACGTAAGATACTCAAAGAAATACAACAAATATTCTTTGTCAGACATTTTATCTCCATCCGGAAAGAGAGCAAAGGACTGGGTTAGAAATGCTTCTACTCAGAAAATTTTGACAAGAAATCCTGAGCTTTTGATATCGGTAAGATTTCATGGAACTACAGCATATCTTATAGACAAAAGTCTTATACCAGTAGTTTTGTTATGGTTAGACCCGGTTGTTGGATATAACTTCATAACATATGGTTCGTTCGACTCAGAACGTTGCAGTGAAGGCTTACTTTACATCGTTCAGAAACCGAAGGACTTCAATACAAAGAGATATAAGATAGGAAGAACATATAATATAACTCAAAGATATGACAGTACAGTCAATAGAGTCAAGGTTGTGTTTGTTAACGATATGAGAGCTGCTGAAACAGAACTACTCGAAAAGTTTGAGAAAATGTATGGTGCTCCCACGAAAGGTAAAGAAACGTTTGAAGTAGATGAGATAGATAAAGCTATAAAATTATTTGACGAAGTTGCTGAAAAATACATGTAAAGCGTTTATTTTTGGTCTTTTGTGAAAGTCAGAAAATAACGCTAATTTTTTATAAAATATTTTTTTATTTTGTATGTAAAGACAGATATGTCAACAACAGAGAACACAACAACAGTTATAGTCCATGAAGCTATAAATGAAGAATACGAGTACATACAGTTTAACAAACAACTCCGTCTCATTCGTTCGGTCAAAGACGATATGTACCAAATGCAAAGTATTTTGAATGCTCTTCGTTCTACAAAGCAAGCATATCATTGGTTTGAAAACCAACAGACAAAAGAACTTTTAGAAGAATTTCCTCATATGTTTGCTTCCCTCGGAAAACCGAGGGAAGAGATTCCATTCGAAAATCGTGAAAAATTGCCAAACGGTTTGAGAGGATATTATGTACATAGACTTCTTGTAAATAATGTGGCACAATGGGCTTCAGCTCGCTATTCATGGTATGTTTGTAAACTTCTTGACGAAATTCATAGACAAGAACGTGAAGAGCTAGAGAACAAGCTTGAAGCAAAAGACAAAAACATACAGAAAAGAATACCACGTTCGGTACCAAAAGGAAAGGAAAAGAACTATAAGTATATGATTTACACTGAAGAGATGGAAAATGAAGAAGACAGAGATATGGTTATGTTGCATTTAGTCAGAAGAAACAACAAAAGCTTTTACGACCTTGCTAAGATTTACAAATCTGACAGAAATTGGTTCTATCGCGAAAACTTACCGATTTCAATGACACCGAATGAAGATGTTAAACAGATAGTTCAAGATACGTTACCTCAAACACACTATGATATGAAAGGTTGTACAATACTTACATTCAAAGAAGATTTGCCGCTACTGAAAGAAAAAATAACAGAGTATTTTGACAACTTCAAACAAGCAGAGTAGATGAACCATTTATTTTTCAAGCTTGACATTCCAAGTTCTTCCTTCCGACATTCCAAGTTCTTCCCGACAACTGGAAAAAAATTTCCCGACAACTGGAAAAAAATTTCCCGACAACTGGAAAAATTTTTCCTGTTGTTCGTCCGTAAACCATTCAAATTTTCGAAAATTGAGAACTTTTTGGTCGAACGACAGAAAAAATTTTTCCTTCCGACAGAAAAAGTTTTTCCTTCCGACAGAAAAAGTCCTTCCTTCCGACAGGACACAAACGGACGACTGACATTCCTCTTCCTGAATGTCTTCCAAAGCCAGAAGAACCGAAAGCTGCAGAACCACAACAGACTAAGACTAAACTCTTTATTTTTCAAGCTTGACTTTTTACAATTTGAACTTTGTTCGCGTAGATATGAATTCTGAAAGAAGTATGAGGGTCTTGTATGACTTTGTACTTCTCCCATAGTTCATGTCTGTCAAACTTACCTGCCATGGACTCTTTCATAAGTTCCATGAAATCGTCTTCGGACAATCCGGGGAAAAGTATGATATCAGTAAGTATTCTCTTTACATCCTTACTTAAACTCTTTGCTGTCTGTACACATATTACGACTGAGATGTTAAAGTGTCTGAGCTTCTTAAGAATTCGACACATATCTTGTTCTCTGTTCTTTAACAAAGGATGAGAAGCAAAGTCATCTAAGATAAGAAGACATCTATGAGGGTACGTTTTCCAATCGTAAGATTGCAATTTCTTCGAAATGTATTCTATCTCTTTCTGTTTGTTTCTGAAGTGTTTCTTCTCTAATATTCTCTGCATTTCCTCATTTGGGTCTTTAAACTTCGAATTTATATACTCATTTATAGCATTGTACTTCAAAACTCTTCTTTGGTACTTCTTTATCCAATCTAACAACTCAGTATCCTTTATACATACTAACTTAGACTTCTTTATAATATCTTTGAACGAATTGACGGTTTGGTCAAATTGACCAGAAGTACTACAAATAACAACTAACTCATAGAATGGGTTCTTCTCATCTAGTTCTTGTTGTTGTGCAGCCATTTTAAGATAAGTGAAAGTCTTGCCCGACCCAGGTGGTGCGATTAGACCTGTTATACCATTCTGAGCAAATAGGAACTTGTCATGTATAGGCTTTATCTGAGCATTTTCTAACTTCCTCTTGTTCTTGTTTAAAACATTCTCAAATTTTTTTTTCAATGTCAGCAAACTTTTTTTCTAACATATTTTTAGAAAAATTAAATTTTTATCTTTTTTGAAAATTGTCTAGCGATTTCGCTATCTATATTCGAGACAAGCTTTTCGACAGCAAAACATCTGTCGACCATAAAATCTTACATAGTGTAAACAAGAAAGGTGAATTTGTTCTAAAGTTCTGTTTCTGGGAATATGACAAGAACCATAAAACATTAGGCAGAGAAGTCTTTAAGTTTGTCAATGACAGACTTGTTGACAGAGATGACGCCGATTGGAAAGATGAAGTCCAACAAAAGTTCTTAGAATGCAAAGAAGACACATGCGCTGTTCTTGAAAATGAAATAGAAAACAGAATAGAAGAGCTATTAAAGGACAAAGAACTTTTACATAAATATGGTTCTGAGAAATTTGACATAACTCCACCAGAAAAGAAGAAGAAGAGAGAAAAGAAAGAAAAGAAGAAAAGAAAGTAGAAGAAGAGAAGAAAGAACCTGAACCAGTTCCAGAGAAAAAGAAATTTGACATGTAAAAATAAAATTTTTATTTTTAGAACATTTCTGGGTCAATGTCAATGTTCTCTTCCTCTTTAGGGGCAAACACTGGCTTAGACTCTAAAATCTTTTTACCCAATTTACCTTGACTTTCAACTATCTTAGACTCATTAATATTCATAGTCGTCTGCTTTCTTTGGTTCATAAGGTTCAAGTTTGTATGCTTTGCCTTCTTTAAGGTTTGAGAACCTTCTGTCAAAACTTTCTTTGACTGCTAACAAACCTTCTATGTCTAAGTCTTCAAATTTCGCACCATTTTTAGTCACAATAGCAAACTTAACTGGTTCGATGTTCCAAACTTTGCTGAATGAAGACTTTTCAAAATGGTAGAAGTAAACATTCAAATAAGCGAATGGGTCTAGTTCTTCTTTAAGTCCTGTCATGTACTTGTTGACTGAAATATATTTCGTCATCTTTTCTATCGGATAAAAAAATGTTTTTTTTAAATTTACTCAGAAAAATTTTTCTTTGTATATACGCCGTTCTGAACATTTAAAAGACTTTTGACATTTGCCAAGAATGTTCGTTTAGACGCTGCCATATAACCATACTCTTGACAATATTGTTTATATTCATCATATAAAGACCTTTCATCTAATGACACAAAGTCGCTTTCTTCTATAAACAGTTCATATACACTCTTGTTTGCTTCTAACAATGTTTGTCTTTCTTCGGTATATGGAATTTGTCTTGGATTGAACTTAGAAATATCTAATGTCATAAAATATGAGAACAAGTGGTTGTAAAAGTCAGATGTCAAAGTTTCTGCTAAGTCGTCAAAATATTCTGTATCTTGCATATGAGAATCTGACGTTCTGACAACTACATATCTTCTGTCAGAACTTTCTAACTTCATCGGAACAGAATTGTTTGAAACCATAATGAAGTTTGCAACATTTTCACAAACTCTTTGGTCTTTATATTTTCTTTCAACAACTCCAACTTTATCTGTTATAAGACTCTTCAAAGCATCTGAGTTTAAAACCTTTGTTGTATCTATACTTTGAAGTTCATTGCAAACTATAAGTTTCATATTCTCAATTGAGGAGTTAAACTTGCCACAGATGTTTTCTATGTTTGTCATATTCGGGTTCGAATAACCTTCTAACAGTTTGCACAAAATATCTGTAAAGAATGTGTTCTTACCTGTTCCTTGTTTTCCAATTATAATGAGAGCAGTTTCATTTTTAGCACTTGGATGTTGTAAGATGTTTGCAAACCAACATAAGATATACTCATAAACCTTTTCGTTTCCATTGCATATAATTTCTTTGACATGGTCTAACCAAGCTTCTATAATATTTTCTTTCCATTCTACTTGTTCGTATTTATATCCAGTGAAGATAGAATAGAAGTTTGGAGATGGTGTATAGAACTTTATACCTCGAACTGAAAAATCTTCTAACTTTGACAATAAGATATCCCAAGCATCTAACATCTTCATGCCAACTTGTACGACTTTTATTTTCTTAAGTTTCTGTCTACATTCTTGTTCAGACACTATTGTTGCTCTTGGTTTGTTAAAGACAACATCCATTCTTTCATGACATAACATTCTGGGGCAGAGTCAACATAAATGACTAAACGTTTCAAATTCTCGACTGCTTTGTTATAGTCTCTAAATGGACACATATTTCTGAACGCTTGGAGTCATAAAAATCTGAAACGTCTATTCTGTACATTTTTATAAAAATAAAAAAAATATTTTTTTATTCTTGAGCTATTTGTTGTTCTTGAGCTATTTGTTGCATTTGTTGTTCTTGAGCTATTTGTTGTTGAAGTTGTTCTTGTAGTACAATACTTTACCAGTTGCATCTTCCAATTCGAAACTTTCTGCCGTCATTGACAATACATAGGACATAAAAGTTTTACAGGAACAAAGTTTGCGTCAACTAAGGTTAAGTTTATGTTTGCTAAAGTGTTTGAGTTTACTAAAGCTGAAAACTCTGCATTCGAATGAACAATGGCAAACCAGCAGAGAAAGTGTTGTTTATACGCATGAGTATCTTTTTGGTCATAGTAGTTTCTGTCGACATTCGAATAACACTTTGAACCTAAGTTTGAAACAATATATAAGATTGGTGTGCTTAATGTCAATGGAATAGACATTCCTTGTATGACACCTTTTCCTGTTATAGGAAACTGTTGGTAGTAAAAACCAGAAATAAGTTTTGTATTATAGCTCATATCGTTTATAGTAAACTCAGTCGGACATCAAACATAATGAAACCTGCTCTATTGCAGCACATGTTACATCCGTCCTTAAAGTATTAAATAAGTCAACAAAAACCTGTTGGTGGTATATCTGAGTAAGTATCTTCAAAGAAGTATTTTTTTACCATTCACAACAACAAAGTCTTCTGGTGTCAAAAGAGCAAAACAGGCTTTAGTCGTCATTGTGTTTAAAGTTAGTTTACAATACCGTCCTTGAGGACTTTGTAAGTTTGTTGTTATAGAATTATATGACTCAGGGTTTTTAGTCGTAATAGTATAAACCATTATATCTTCTGCCATTTACTTAGCAAATAAATTTTAATGAAATGTTGTGGTCGTCAAATATTTTTTATAACGTCTGGGAAACTATATTTTAAGTTCAACGTTTCACCTCCTTTCATAACGTATATCTTGTCAATGACATTATATGAACACACCACAGCAACTAACGTCGGGTTCTATTTCTTTGATGTTTATTCGTCTGCCTCTGTCAAAAGTTTCAATAGTTCTTTCAAAACTTCATGAGGTGCAATGACATATTGAGTTCACTTTTACAGGGTTGTGTTCGACCAAGTTTAACATTATACCTAAAGCTTGACAAATCTTCTCCTGAGTTTGAAGTTTGTCTTTCAGTTGCATGTAGTCGTTTCGAATATCTGCAACAGAACTTAAGTCTCTGCTAACTTCAGGGTATGTTGGTTCTTTTACAGGAAACTATTGTTATACCATCTTCGTCTTCGTATGGTTTCCCACTTCAACATCTCTTTCTTTGACATTGACAACAACACTTTGACTGTTTGTTTGAGTTGGTGAATTTAACTTCACATCTGCCACCGCCATTAAACCTTTGAAACACTACGCTTCTATTTTTCGGAAATGACATTTTACTAAGAATAAAAAGATGGACGTATTTGAGTATCTCTTCGAATTGAAGCAAAACAAAGTTTATACACACAAACAGTACAAATACATGACAGAGTAGTTCTTTACACAAACAATGGAAAATGTTATAGAATAGCAGTCTTTGCTGAACCAAAATATTTCATAAAGCAGGAGAGTTGGTATAACTGAGATGGTGAAAGTTCTTGACGTTGACAAAATATAACAACAAAACTGACCGTATATTTCTAAAGGTAAGTTTATAATACAATATTATGTCAAAACTGGCGTACTGTCAATATTTGACGGAGAGAAGTCAGTTCAAGAACAACTTACTGACCTGCTGCCAAAATCTGCTCGATGGAAGCTGTCGTTTACCAATCTGAGGAGCCCCAGCAGGTTTCATCGAACGAATCTTCAAAAAGAGCATCTTCCGTGAAAAGTGCTATTGGTTTTGTAAACTTCTTTGCTCTCAGTTCATCTGGACCGTCTCTGTCACCAGTATATTGTATTTGTACAGTACCAACAGTTGAAATACCACCCATAAAGTCTTCTGAGTCAGCAAATGGAATGCCAAGCCAAAAGTTGAACGGTCTCCATTTGTATATTGAGTTTTTTGACCTCCTGTATGAGTCCATACTTTCACATATGGCATAATAGAACTTTGCATTTCAGGGTTTATGGTTGTTGTGAAGTTGTTGTTAAAGTTCATAGCATCTAATGTCAAGTTGTATGACCTCATATCCTCAACTGTAGAATATTCTTCTCTTGGATAGTATTTGCCATCTATGTTTATATGGTATTTAATACCAGGGTTGTAGAAGCAAGAATAGTCATTTATAGTTCGTCTGAACAGTACAAACATAGTATCTGCATGTTTCATTGCAGTTGTTAAAGCAATATCTGTTCTTGCACCTGGGTCAGCACTTTGGTTTCCAACTTCACCTGCAAAGTCTTTGACAGATATTTGGTGTATAGGGAACATAAGTGGAACTGCAATATATTTGGCAGCTAAAGCATTTGAAATATCTGGGTCCAACATATAGACTGCAAGTCTGCTTTCTATTCTCTTGCATTCAAACTTTTCGCATGTGAACTTAACTGGGTCCCAAGCAGTTCCAGCAGCATTGAAGTAGTAGTTTACTTCAGTGTTGAGGTTGAGAAACCAAAGTCTAAGTCAACTTTGTCTTTGCAAAAGTCGGCGAATGACGTTTGATTTGCTCCCTTTACGTCTGTAAGAGTGAATGGGTCTTGTGTTGGTGCAATGACTAAGTTATTTTTGCTTGGAGTAAGTTCGATAGAAATTTTCCTGCCCAGTTTGGCAAGTATCTTAAAAACCTGAAGATGAGGAAAGATGACAAAGGAACTCTAAGTTTCAGTTTTACTTTGGTTACTGCTGCTGCAGTTTGTCCAGAAAGGTCAACATAAACTCCTGGAACGTTAGGGTCAAGTCTTCTTATTTTCTCAATAGTTGCATACTGGTCTGTTTGTTCTCTAGCTTGTGGTTGTACTGAGTTTCTCAAAGCGAACCATTCATAGTTTGCCCATGTTACTGTTTGAACTAAGTCAGAGTTAGAATATATCTTATATCCCATGAAAACTTCTGGAGCATATTGGTATCCGACATAGAAAATTCCATTGCAACCTTTCTTGTCAGACAACTTGGCAGAAGGTTTTATTTCAATGTCTTGTTCCACGTATAAGAAAGAGTTGTCAATAGAAATTATATGAAACCTGTCGCAAGCAATATCTACTGTTGTTGAAGAACCTTCTCCAAACTCACCTACGTTTCCATAAGAAACAGCAGTTGTATATTCGTAAGTTCCAGGAACTATTTCTGACCTTCTAATGGCATTGTCGCATTCGTTATACCATTCGGAAACATTTCCATTCATGGCATCCAAAACTGTTGGCGTTATATTCTGAGCGCGTACATTTCATATGAGTAAAAATATAGAATAGTTGGATTTATATGTCATAATAGAACCCACTCCGACCAAGCTTTACTTTCTTCCTGACTGAGTTTTTAACTCTTCTTTTTCCTTCATTGCCCTCTGCTTGAAGTTGTTGCATCTTTGCATTATGTTCATCTAGTATGTTGCAAATTTTCCATGTCCTTTTTGCCTTTTGGCTCTGGTCGCCCATCTCAGGTAACCTATATCCTAGAAAGAGTTTGTCATAGTCTGTATTTGAGTCTTCGCGTATTGTTTGCATGACTCTTTCCTGAGTTTCCGGTTCAAGCTCTTCAAACAGTGCCTGTCCATATGGAATATGCTCGTTTCCAAATATATGTTTTTGTAGCCATTCTGGTTTTCTTTCCATGTTACCAACTATATCTTTTGTGAATGGGAAAGCTTCTACCCAATCTTTCAGTCTTGCGTCGTTTATTTCTGTAGTTGGTTTTATTTTGTCAAGGAACATGTTTTTCAATACTAACATTTCATTTGGTACTGTCCATTTGAGTTTTCTTAAATATTCATCCCTTCTCGGTTCATTGTCTGCAAAGTAAGTTTTTATGACATTTTGTAAACTTTCGTTTGCAAGGTCATGTACAATAGGTTCTCTTCCTTCGCTCTCCCTAACTTTCTTTCTAAACTCTTCACCAAATATACCATCTCTATGGTTCTGTGTAGTTCTTTGAGATAAATGTTCTAGAACGTCAGGTGTTATATTTCCATCAGCCATGTTCATTTCATACTGGTCCAAAATATCTGCATGTTTCATATCTTTCAATGGCATTAAAGCCGCGCTGAAAATACCAGCTATATCTCGTTCACCATTCGCTTCCATTGCGTCTACAACTTCTTGGAATTGAGGTTGTAAGTTTATGAACCACCTATCCGGATTAGCTTTATGACCCCATCTCATTGTAGTTCCATCGTCTGCAGAAACAAAAGTAGGTTTGTTTCCATCTTGGTTAGGTTCTGAATGAACTTTAAACAATGTTTCATTTCTATATGTTTCTTGAAATTTAACCTTTTATTTTCACCGAGTTCATCCGAAGATTGAACGTTAAATGCTCGTAAGTAAAAAGGGTTGTTGTATTTGTGTACATTTTCTTTCAGTACTTCCATTCTATGCTGAATATTTTCATCTGGTGTTGGAGTCTTTTGTATGTCGGCAAACATTTTTCGATATTCTTCTACTATGTCAGCCGAATTTTTTTTAGACTCTTGGAAATATTCCATATTCTCCGCATACTCTTGTTGAGGGTCAAGATTTTTCGGCTGTTCCAAATCTTCATCTAGTTCTGTGAAGTTAGTTTCCAAAGGAGTGACTTGTTCGTTTCCTTCAGGCTCTTCTAGCTGTTGTTGCTGAACTATTTCTTCCATGTCTGGTTGTATCTGAACTTCTTCCTGTGGAGTTTCTTGTACCTCATCTGCTGGCATTTCATATATTCCGAGACCGTTTTCAACAATTTCCCTATCTACGTCATCCGCATTCATAAGCTTTTGTTCTTTCGTTCCGTCTCTATTTTTTACGCGTTTCATGACGAAAGTTGAATTGTCATTTAGCTCTGACATCAAATATCTCGGAGTAAATTCATCCATGTCATTTGGATGATATGCTATTAAATCATATCCCTTAGCGAGCTTGTATTTTCCAGGTTTGAGATTATATCCGTTTTGGTGCTGAGCCATAAAGCTAAATAGGTTCGGGTCAGTATTTCCATCCTTGAACTTTCCAATAGCTTCTTTATATCTGTCACTAAAGTCAACAGTATCTGGGAAACCACACTCTTCTTTAAGCATTTTTAAGAATTCTTGGTTTCCTTGTTCTCTACTTCTTTTATGTCCTTGCTCTGGTTGTGGAGGTGGTTGTTGTGCTGGTTGTGGAGGTGGTTGTTGTGCAGGGTTTTGAACTGTTGGTTGTTGTGCATGCCTGTGTCTGTGTCCATGTGACGATGTAAATGTTTTAGGTAGTCCTGGTGCAGGTGCTTCTCTTGGAGGGTTTGGTGGTATATAAGTTCCACCAGCTGGCACATATGTTCCATCTGCAGCGTAATGTCCTACCTGACTTTTCGTTTTTAAGAAAGCATTTACTAGGTCTGTTTTGGTCTGTTGTAACTCTTTTTCTTGACTTTCCACAACAGTTGCTCTAACGGCGTCATAGGCACTTTGAACTGCCTGTCTCGTTGCTGCATCTGTTATTTTCGTCATATTTTGTGCTACTTCTCTTAACTCGTTGTCGAAACCTTCAGACTTCAGTTTCTTTCCAGATGAGAAGTCGTTCACTTGTTTCACCTTACTATGAAGAGCTTCGAAGGCGTTCTTAAAGTCAGCATTCGTTAAAGCTTCATTTGAACTGTCTTCATCCGCTTGTATTTTTGTCCTTATTGACCCTATGAGTTGGGCTGCTTTAGCGTTGGCTTGGGCATCTAACCAGTCATTGTTAGCTTTTATATATTCTGCGCTTTTCATTGCCTTTTGCATAGCCGCGTCGTTATTTTTACTTTCTTGTGCTAAGTTTTCATACTGTACGGTTTGGTTTTGCAACTGTAAAAGTTTTTCTGCCTTTACATTTGCTTCAACTTCTTTTATACTCATCGCTATCCATATATGTCTTCAGGGCTTTTTGTTTTATCTCTTCATCTTTCAGTATTTTATATTGAGTAGTATGGTTTTTCAAATTTATGACATCTTGTTCCATTTTTGCTACTTCTGCTGCTTTTTCTGACACTTTTTTTGCATATTCCTCTGTACTTAGTTCTTTCAGTTGTTCTTCTTTCTTCTTTTTCTCTACGTTTAACTCATTGAGTTTCTTTGTGTGTCTGTCATATTCTAGTTTCTTTTCGTTTTCACTTATTTGTTTCTGTATGTCTATGTTTGACTTTTTGACATCTGTTATTTGATTTTTGAGTGAACTCAAATTCATTTGACTTTGAGGGTTATAAGCTGTTCCGTCTGCAGCTCCACCATAGCCTGCCATTTTCGCTAAAAGTGCCGCTCTTAAACCTCCACTCTGTGCACCAACAACTCGGTTTAAAAGCATAGGATTGCTTGACATTTGTTGCAACATAGTGGGGTCATTCATTATTTGTTGTTGCAACTGTTGTTGTGGTGTTAGTTTTACTATTGGATGTTTCAATGCTCTCTTCCTCTTACGTATATTCTTACGTAGCTTACGTGGCATTTTAAGTGAAGTTAAAAAGCGGCATTTGACAGATGTTTTGTTGTGACTTCTTCGTAAAGACTTTGTTGTGACTTCTTCGTAAAGACTTTGTCAAGACTTCTTCGTAAAGACTTTGTTGAGATTTCTTCGTAAAGACTTTGTCAAGACTTCTTCATAAAGACTTTGTTGAGATTTCTTCATCGTAATGAGTGTAAATGACCCAAAAATAATGTTTATGTTAGAATGTTAGATCTAACCTCTTTTCTAACATGTTTTCTAACATGGTCTAAAACATACAAAACTCATGAAATTTCATACGGAATTCAATAAAAATAATGTTTATGTTAGAATGTTAGATCTAACCTCTTTTCTAACATGTTTTCTAACATGGTCTAAAACATACAAAACTCATGAAATTTCATACGGAATTCAGCAAAAATAATGTTTATGTTAGAATGTTAGATCTAACATGTTTTCTAACATGTTTTCTAACATCGTAGAAAACTCATGATTTCATCGTAAATGTTTTGTCAAGACTTCTTCGTAAAGACTTTGTTGAGATTTCTTCGTAAAGTTCTTCATCGTAAATGTTTTGTAAAGTCTTTCTCATGAACTTTCTTGTCAATGTTTTGTTGAGACTTTGTAAAGTTCTTCATCGTAAAGACTTTGTAAAGAAAGTTCATGAACTTTCTTGTCAATGTTTTGTTGAGACTTTGTAAAGTTCTTCATCGTAAAGACTTTGTAAAGAAAGTTCATGAGTTTTCTACGATGTTAGAAAACATGTTAGAAAACATGTTAGATCTAACATTCTAACATAAAATATATTTTTGTCTGATTTTACGAAGAAGTCTTGACAAAACATTTACGATGAAGAAGTCTTGACAAAACATTTACGATGAAGAAGTCTTGACAAAAACATTTACGATGAAGAAGTCTTGACAAAACATTTACGATGAAGAAGTCTTGACAAAACATTTACGATGAAGAAGTCTTGACAAAACATTTACGATGAAGAAGTCTTGACAAAACATTTACGATGAAATCATGAGTTTTCTACGATGTTAGAAAACATGTTAGAAAACATGTTAGATCTAACATTCTAACATAAAATATATTTTTGTCTGATTTTACGATGAAGAAGTCTTGACAAAACATTTACGATGAAGAAGTCTTGACAAAACATTTACGATGAAGAAGTCTTGACAAAACATTTACGATGAAATCATGAGTTTTCTACGATGTTAGAAAACATGTTAGAAAACATGTTAGATCTAACATTCTAACATAAAATATATTTTTGTCTGATTTTACGAAGAAGTCTTGACAAAACATTTACGATGAAGAAGTCTTGACAAAACATTTACGATGAAGAAGTCTTGACAAAAAAGTCAACGGCTGGTCGGCTGGGGCTCCGGTCCTCCTCTTGGGTCTTGGGCAAAATTTCTTATGGGCTAGAAGGCACGAAGTGCCTGGAAGCCCTCCGAATAAAAACTTCATTTATACTAAAACATCCTCAGGGCTAGAAGGCACGAAGTGCCTGGAAGCCCCACTACCTTTTTTTTTTTTTTTTTTTTTTTTTTTTTTTTTTTTTTATATTCTAATATCATAGAAATATGAAATATTGAGAAGTTTGGAATCAATAATTGCAATTCACTGTGAATTGGAAGTAAATAGCTATAAAAATGGCAGATATAAATAGGCCATTGTTTTCTTGGATATTTGTGTCGACGCACGTTTTCAAATTCTAAAAAAGTGATGGATCTTTGTAAAGTTTGTAAGGTGAATTTTTTTTAGAAAAAAATGGATTTAGATGTTGATGCTATTATACAGTCAATCAGACAAGGAAACCAAGTTCAGGAGCAAGAAGTTGTATCTATCATGACGAAACTTCAAGAAGTTCTTTTTAATGAGAATAATGTTTTAGAATTAAGTTCACCAATCATCATTTGCGGCGATATTCATGGACAATTATACGATTTATTCCAATTATTCGATACAGTAGTACCTAAAGGTATTGGCTCAACAAAATTTTTGTTCATGGGAGACTACGTTGACCGTGGAAGATTCTCAATGGAAACATTTGCATATCTTGCAGCTCTTAAATTGAAATATCCAAAGCAATTCTTCTTACTTCGAGGAAATCATGAATGCCGACAAGTTAACCAAGCATACGGATTTTATGCCGAAACACTACAGAATTACGGACACTCTGGAATTTGGTCACTATGTAATGAAATATTCGACCTTCTTCCAATGGCTGCCTTAATTGATAATAGAGTTTTTAGTGTCCACGGAGGATTGTCGCCTAAAGTTACTCTAATGGAAACGATAGATTTAATGGACAGACAGGATGAGCTACTATCAAGTGGCGCTCTCTGTGATTTATGTTGGAGTGATCCAGACAATGATATAGAGAACTGGAGAGAGAATGAAAGAGGTGCTGGATGGATATTTGGTGCAAGACAAGTCCAAGAATTTTGCCATAATAATAAAATCGACTTAATTACGAGATCTCATCAATTGGCAGCTAATGGATATCAATGGTTCTTCGAGGAGCATTTAATTACTGTTTGGTCTGCGCCAAATTATATGTATCGCGCTGGTAATAAGGCAACAGTGTTGAAATACGATAGAAGCGCACCAAAGGAGTTCAGTTTGATATTCTTTGATGCTTGCCCGAATGATAAGAGGAAGATTCCTGAAGATATTACTGTTTCTCAATACTTCTTATAAGATATTTTTTCCTTTTTTATATTTATAATGTTAAACGCTTTATTTATTATATATAACTGCATAACTCTCGAATTTGCTCAAAAAATATAATAGATTTCTAATTAATAATTGGATATTATCATTTTGTTGTTTTATTGTATTTTCAAAAAGTAGATAATATTATTAGAGAAATGTTTATTAAACAGAAATTGTAGTATTTATATTTTCTATTTTTGTAAAATTTGATTTTGAAATTGTTGACATTGTTTATGTCTATTGTTGTGTCTTTGTATTTTCAACAGCTTGGGAAATTTGCTGATAGTTTCTTGTCTGTTCGATTGGAACTTCGCTTAAAGAAACGAATTCTTGAAATGGTTCTTTGTATTCTGGATTTCCGTGTTCTTCTGTAGTAAATGTTACGAATTCACCGAACTCTGTAACAAATTCTTTCCCTAATAGCGACATCTAAAAAAGTGACAAATATTATGAAACATGTAAATTTATTTCAAAACAAAGGAGTGAATCAAAATTATGCAGAAGAATTGATGCAAACAGAAGCAAATGATTTCCTCGAGATGCAGAGAGGTGATAGACAAGATGTTAGAGAAGTTTCTGCCGATTTACACCAGTGCCTAGAAAGAATTAAAGCAATGTGTAGCGATTTTGCTCCAAATGATAATTACCAGCAATCTGATGACTCTAGCGATTCAGATGTTGTTTGTTTATAATATTAATTTTTTTATCACCGTTCAAAGACCTAAAAATTGTTAGTATAACTCAATCATACAGTTTTTGATAGATTTACATCCATAATTCATTAGATATAATTTGATATTTGATATATTTGAAAATCTTTCAATTTCCATTATAGCTGCAAAGTTAAATATATGGTTCCTTCGTAGACTTGTATTCATAAAATATTAGGAAATTACGAAAAATAAGTTTAATATAACAACAAAAAATAAAACTAAACATGCTAAAATATATAAATATGAAGTAGTATTGTATTTGTTTGCTTGGGATCGGTAAAGTTATAAGCTTTTGTGTATGATATCAAGAAAAAAATAATTTGCTTTCAAAAACATTGAAAAATTCAATGAATCTAATTGTTGATGGCATGTAGTGTATAGATACCAACTAATTCCAATGATAATATTGATTTGTAAAATTATTTTCTAGATTTTGAAGAACTGGTTGTTTTTCTATTGTTTGAAAGTACTTTTTGAAGATTATCGAGTTTATTTTGTATTGCTTCGTATTGAGATTTATAATATTCGGCTAATTTGTTGCCAGAAAGTTCTGGAGGAGTCCTTGTTCGAGCTCTATTTGATGTTGGTGTATGAACAAATTTTGGTTGACTATCGCGTGACATTCTTTCAGAACCGCGAAGAAGACTGATTTCTTGCTGTAATTTACTAATATCATCCCTTAGCTCTTTAATTTCTGATTCGGAATCGATTAATTGATGCTCAAGCATGCTGATCGACTCTCTTAAATTCTTTGTTTCAGAATCAGAAGGAAGTGATGGCAACGGAGCATTGTTGCTTGAAATGTGTAAAATTGATTTGCTCTTTAGCGAATCATTCTTTTTTCTTGGAGAATTTACAAAATTATGCGTTGGAGTTGAAATATGACGAAACGAAATCGGTTCGAATAACGGCGTATCATGCTTTTCATAATTATCAATAAGGTTTGCTAAAGAAGGAGGAAATTGAAGTCTATGATCTGCGTCAAAGTGCGACATATATTGAAAAGTGACAATCTATTCCGCATAGATAACTTAAACCCTGTACTATGAGCGACAAGATGGCATAATTCTCTTTTGCTGCTAGCTACATTCCATTGTGGAGAACAATACTTGTGCAAATCCCACAGAATAGCTTATTATCTGCATTCATAACTTAATATTGTTCTTCAAAGTCAAATGTGAAGGAGCAATAAAAAATGATTATAAACAAACATTTTTATTGAAAGATAGAACATGATTATAAAGAAAAAGTAAAATAAAATTTAACAAATATTGCTGAAATTATAAGTACTTCTTGGCAGGTAATATTAATGGCTTAATTCGTGCAAAAATGAGTGGAAAGAAGAAAAATAAGTTTGCTGATATCCATAAGATTAATAAATCGCCAAGTAAATTAACAATGTATGAAATAGCAATTAAAACAAAAAATGTGAAGAAAGTCCGAGTGTAATCTCTTCCGAAAATAATGTTGCGAATGTATCTTGAAATTTGATTGGTCATGTAAATAAGAGCTGTTAAAAATGCTGATATTTCTGCAACGGAGTATCTAAATTTACCTGCATCTAAAGTCTCTCCATATAATTTAACCCGAAAAAAATGATTATCAAACCAATAAAAGAGGTGACTGCGATTTGAGTATGCAAGATAAATTACTTCTATGAGAACAAACGCGTTTGCTTTGATTAATTTTAGAAAAAGAAAGAATGCATTCATTTCCATTAAAACAACAACAGCAGCTTTTTTCCTTCGAAAAAACATGATATCTTGGAGTTTCATTATCTCTTCTTCGAATGGAAGTAAATATCCATGAATGATTTTAGCCCGAATAACATATTCATCCATCATAAAAATTCTTTACCTGATAAAATGTCATTGTTTATCGTTTTATGATGGAAAATTAGTTTTGTACAACATAGGTAATAGTGCACACTCCATTTGTGAAGCACAATGAACAAAAATTGTTTAGCTATTACCGAATATAATCCATAATAATGATTTGTATAGATTTGTGCTCTTTGAATTATATTAAGAACTTGTGCAGGTGAGTATTTCAATCCCTTAATTGATATAGTATTGATATCTTGATAATTTTTATTTAATATATGCATTTTAGCATTAAACTCACCATGCTGCTTGAATAATTATATGAGTTCGTTACGTTAAGTCTTTGTCACAAATACAAGATATTTGTAAAATTCATATTCGAAAAGCTTGTTTCTCGATTTCAGTTCTTATTTATCAATTAACCACCAGGATAAAGAGTTTTATTATAGCAAAAACTTAGCATAATTAAAGATTTTCATAAATATTATTTAAACATTTATAAAATAACAAACATAAAAAGGAAAACATAATATCATTCATTAGGTGAACTCGAAGGAAGCTTTTGGATTTTGTAATCCGGCAATTTAATTTTGTTAAAATCGCTAAATGCGATTATTTCTTGAAGTTGACTCTGATAAAGAGATTCGCTCCTCTGATCATGAACGTTATGGAGATTAGTAAGTGATTTTTTATGTTTCTTAGTAATCTTTTCACATCTAAAGTTATATTTGTAAAAACGCTGAACAGTATATTCAGAAGGATATGAGATTCGCTTCGAAACATATCTTAGAGCATCTGAAATTGGTCGTTTATCAACTTGTTCGTTTCTTTGCATATTTTCACGAACTTGGGCATCATAATAGTTCGACATCAGCATACTTTCCTGCTTTGAAAACTCTTCTGCTGCATTAAATCGATCTAATGTTTGATTTCTTAATATAGTTTTTAATTCTTCATTATCTGTATTTATTTTCTCCTCAAATGATGGAGCAAATGGAGGAACAGTCTCTAATATATCTGATGATACAGTATCGATTTGCTCTGATTGAGTATTTTCGCTTTCTTCAGTTAGAGTTTCAGCTGATGTCTCTTTCTTATTAAATTTTGGTGTTTCTTCAGGTACATGTTCTGATTGCTTGAAATTCATTAAATCTTCTTGTAGTTTACGTATAGTTTTTGACGTTGCATTTAATTTTTGGTAATTATAGAACTTAATTGTTGGTGCAATAGGTACAAAATCCTCTAATGGTGGAGGAATTGCTACTGCTTTAGAATCTTCTGGCTCTGTTGTTGTAGTCATTGTTATTTTTTGGTCGAAAATTTTTGACATAAAAGTGACAAAAATGAATATTACAACAATAGTTTTATCAATAATGAGAACGAATTGCTACTTAATGAATCTCAATAACACATGTTTAGTTATAGATCCTGGTGCAGCAAGCAAAAGTGTTGACAAATGGCTTAAAAATAACTGCCAACACGGAAATATCTCCATATTTTTGACTCATGGACACTTTGATCATATAAGTGGAGTTAAACCTATTGTTTCACAGTATCCTAATACAGAAGTTTATGTTTCTTCCAAAGATGAAAAGCATTTATTCAGTACAAGATGGAATCTTGGCTGCTGGGTATTAAAACTTACCACTCTTAAAAGCATCAAGGATAAATTACACTATGTAGAGAAAAATGATACAATTCAATTCGGTGATGAACTATTTTACATTCATACATTACCTGGACATACGCCAGGTGGTTTAGGCCTTTATTCGCAAAAGCACAATCTTATTTTTACCGGAGATACATTATTTAAGAGTGCAAGAGGTTCAACTTCATTTATCGGCGGAAACTATACAGATATGATGCAATCATTATATGATTTGTTTACATACATACCTGGAAACGCTACAGTTTATCCTGGACATTACGCTACAACAACTATTGCGGATGAAATGAAGAGATACGAAATTATAAGGCAATCACGATCAGTAACAAGAAAAGAAGAATTATAATTTTCATTTCCAATCAGAGAATTTCAAAATTGTTTTTATGATTTTTTTTATATATGTATATTCCTTCTTTAAGCAAAATAAAAGCTTAACTTTTAAATCAAAGGATTCTTTTTAGCTCCTAGTTTAATGATTATCCTAAATGTTTAGAATACAATTTTGAAAAGCTCATCATTTAGAACAAATTGATTAGAGATTCTGTTAATATTGATTATATTTATCTTTATCATTAAGTAACACAGAATGGATATAAAAGATTTTGTCCTCCAAATTCAGAAAATCCAAGATTTTCCCACGATAAATGAATATTTTTCATTTTAATATGGAAATCCATATAAATATTATCTATTTTTATCATCCCTGTAAGACCATTATCGCTCATCAAACAGAAATTTTGGCAGATGTCTGTGATACCTGAGAAATAAGAAAACTATGAAAACTTCATCGTTTTTATTATCTTGAACTTTCATTGTTGTAAATTCAAAATTGCATTAACCGTCGGATACATTCAATAATAATCAATATGTTCTGAAAAAATATTCCGTAAGTTTAAATTGAAAAAATGAGCAGTAGTGACGGCGGCCATCATCATCACCATCATTCTCACTCTGAACATGGCAATGATACTAATGTTGCACTTCTTGATCCAGAAGATTGCCAACATTTCTTAGAAAACGCGGAACATTTAGATCATGATCACGACCATGGACATCACCATCATGACCATGATCATGATCATAGTCACGCTTCAGAAGGTGTTACTTGGCGATTAATTGTTATGATAACTTTAACAGGCATTTTCTTCTTAGCAGAATTAATTACAGGCTTTGTTACAAAATCACTTTCATTACAATCAGATGCATGGCATATGCTTTCTGATGAAGCTTCACTCGTCATCGGTCTTATTGCACACGAAAAAGCTAAAAAGCCCCCGACAAAACGCTACACTTTCGGTTTAGCTCGTGCTGAAGTTATTGGTGGCTTTACAAATGCTGTTTTCTTACTCGCTGTATGTATGACAATTCTTTTTGAAGCTATTGAACGTTTCATTAAAGTTGAAGAAATTGTCGAACCACTTGCCTTCTTAATTGTCGGTGTCCTTGGTCTCCTTGTTAACGTTGTTGGTATTTTCATCTTCCACGATCATGCTCATTCAGAAAATATTCAAGGTATTTTCTTACATATCATCGGAGATCTTTTAGGATCAATTGTTGTCGTCATTTCAGCTGCTGTTTGCCAATGGACAACATGGAGTGGAAGATTCTATTTAGATCCTGCTTGTTCCATTTTAATTTTCGGAATTCTTGTTTACGGTACTCAAGGATTATTACGTCGTACAGGTCGTGTTCTCTTAGAAACATGCCCTGAGCAGATAGATGTCGAAGAAATCAAAGTCGACCTCATGAAAATCGAAGGTATGGTTGCAGTTCACGAACTTCACGTTTGGGAGCTTTGCAAAGAGCGTTACCTTGCATTATTACATATCGTCGTTGATTCTAAGGACAGAAACAAACGCGTTCAAGAACAAACACATAATACAATGATTGCCCATAAAGTTTTCTCTACAACTGTTCAAATTGAATTCGTCGATGACTTCCCACAAGGCACAGATCACATCGGATCTTGCTTCTACGCAACTTCTTTCGGCAGCGATAAAAGAATTTTCCAGACACCTCCTGTTTACCAGCATTCCATCGGCTGCCCACACGTCAACCTCCCTGGACATGAACATGATCATGATCATGATCACGACCACGATCATGACCACGACCATCATGATCACGGACATGAACACAGTCATGACCACGATCATGACCACGACCATGATCATGATCACGATCATGAAGAACCACAAATACCTCTTCAGGTTTAAAAGTAAACTATTTTTTTCTATTTTTTTAGTTAAATGTCCGAAATTTTTTCAATGAAATAGAAGCTGAGAGCATACTTGTTGTTTAAGAATAATCAATAGGTTAAAAAATAATCAATAAAAAAAATATCGAAATTGAATCTAAAAAGTTTCGATGGATAATCGATACCGATCTGAGTAACTCCATGAATATAGGCTAATATGCAGTTCAAAGAATAAAGATTAGGGATGCGACGGTTTTACGCCATGACCGTTTAAAAATAGAATAATACGCCATTTTTGGGGCCGAATGGCGGGTACTTCGTACCCGCCATTCGGCCGAATAACAAAACAATACAAAATTATCGCCGTCCTTTTTTTTTCTTTCTTTCTTTCTCTTTTTTTTTCTCTCTCTCTCTCTTTCTTTTCTCTTTCCTCTTTTTACTCCTCTTTCTCTTTTCATCATTAAACGTAGAAAGATATATTAATATTATTTTAAAATTAAAAAAAAAAGAAAGAAAGTATAATAAGTAATTATTTAGTTATCGATATATATATGTAAAGTGATAATCTGAGGATAATCTGAGGAGGAGTCTGAGGATTAGACCGAGGAGTAGTTTGAGGAGTTTGATGATAATCTGAGGAGTTTGAGGAGTAGTCTGAGGAGTAGTTTGAGGAGTAGTCTGAGGTGTTTGAGGATAATCTGAGGAGTTGTCTGAGGAGTAGTTTCAGGAGTTGTCTGAGGATAATTTGAGGAGTTTGAGGAGTAGTCTGAGGAGTTTGAGGAGTAGTCTGAGGAGTTTGAGGATAATCTGAGGAGTTTGAGGATAATCTGAGGAGTTTGAGGATAATCTGAGGAGGAGTCTGAGGATTAGACCGAGGAGTAGTTTGAGGAGTAGTCTGAGGAGTTTGAGGATAATCTGAGGAGTTTGAGGATAATCTGAGGAGGAGTCTGAGGATTAGACTGAGGAGTTTGAGGAGTAGTCTGAGGATAATCTGAGGAGTTTGAGGATAATCTGAGCATAATCTGAGGAGGAGTCTGAGGATTAGACCGAGGAGTAGTTTGAGGATAATCTGAGGAGGAGTCTGAGGATTAGACTGAGGAGTAGTTTGAGGAAGATCTGAGGAGTAGTCTGATGAGGAGGGGTCTAAGGAGTAGTCTGAGGATGATGAGTAATCTGATAAGGAGTAGTCTGAGGATGATCTGAGGATAACCTGATGACTAGTCTAGGAGTGGTCTAATAAAAATGTAAAATATTTTCAAAGAAAAAATTCTATGAATTTTATATTTTAATTCTGGGCATTATACTGAATAAAATAAACATAAATATCAAAATTTGAAATTGAACACGCCAAAAAATTGATAATCCACATTCAATATTTTGTAAGTGGCGTACATTTTGAATACTCGCCATACGCCTTGGAGTTCTCAATTTTGAATTCGCCTTTATTTGGGCGACCTCAGAAAAATACGCCATTAAGAAAATATTGTATGAGATTTTAAATTTGAACACGCTCTACCTTAAGGAATTAAATTTATTAAGATATATTTATATATAATAAACGATTACTTAAAAAAAAGTATTTCATCGCTTATGTAAGTTTCAAAAAAATCACGAAAATAAAAAAATCAAGATTAAAATTTTATTTTTAATTTTTGAATTTCTCAAATGGCGAAATTTTTGGGCGAACAAAAAAAATGTACGCCCGGTCAAATGGCGTGTTTAACGCATCCCTATAAAAATAATTAAAATTTTAAATTCAAAGCTAAGTCAAAATATAATTTTTTTTTATGATTTTTTAATAGACAAGAATTTTTTGAGGTCCCAAAACGAAAATCATTGAAAATCTAAACGACAGATAAGCTTGTATTTTCATAAAACTTAATGTTTTATTTGAAATATTTTCTGAATTGCATTATTCATTTAAATTTATATCTAATTTTTATTTAAATGATGTTTTTTCTGTGGTTTTTCTTGAGAAACATATGAGGATAGTCTTTTGACTTATCAATATATGATTAATAATTTTCAAATAGCAATTCCATTGGTATCTTTCACTCTTGAAAAATAAAAAACGGTAAATGAGCTTTGTTGAAGATCTTTTAGACTGGATCAACGCAAATTATAGAATTGGAATGGATCCTCTTGAAATGGATGAGCAACTCACACATGCTGCTGATGTTAAATTACATAAAAAGTCATTTCCGGAAAATTATGTTGATGATAAACAAAAATTCGAGTTTCATATTGCAAACACAACCATAAATAATGCTGATGGCAAAGTGTCACAGATTGTTCTTCAGCAAATTGTCTCACATTCAGGGAAAAATTTTTATCTTCAAAATCCTGCTGCAAAAACCATTGGATATTCTTTCAAAATTACCAAAAAGGGTATTTCCGGCTTATTCATTCTTAATTTACCTCCCAGATTCCAATTACAAATTAATTTATTCCCAATTACAATAGAAGCCAAAGAAATTCCAGCTAAAGAAACGAAAGAGCAAAAACCAAAAGAACAACCAGTTACGAAGAAGCCAATACATTCAGAACCTCCAAAACCAAGTTCATCAAGAAAAATTTCGTTCGTTCCTCATGTTGTAGATTTCATACTTGATCGTGAGGTCAGTCCTGCCTATGAGGAACTACAATATCAGTTAATTTCGCAATGGAAGCGTAAAACAGAAAAAGAATTGAAAATTGACGAAAATTTGCTAAAACAGTTAATAATTTTACACTACAAAGCAGCAATTGAAGAAACAAGTGTTGATTTAGAATATTTAACGCCAATTACAAATAATTTTGAAAAATATCAAGCATTTGCAAGAGATCTCAACTCAAAAGACGAATGCAATGAAATGGCTATGGAAATCCTTTCTAATTTCAAAGAAGAAGAATTCCAAGAATTTACAACAATAATTTGTTCATATGTTGACTTTATTGGAGAACCAACTGCTGTAGTAATTATAGGAAAGGTTAAAGATGATCATCCAGAATGCAATATCTCATTTACTCCAACAATTGAACAATTATCAAATATTATTCTTTCAAACATCAATACGATCAGAATAAATAAGAATTTGACAATTACAGAAGAATTCACATTGAATCATTTCTCAGAAGAGACAATAAATGATTTAGATAAATCTCAATTAACTCTTTCAAAGCCAACAAGCGTCCAACCGCTTAAATCAAACAACAAAGGGTTATGCTTTATATATTTGATTCCTTCCGACAAATCATTTGCTGATATTATCAATTTAGTTTTTGATGATAAATTTACAAGAGGAAGTATCGGCCAATTCAACAATTTTGGTATTGCAATCCAATCAGTTCAAGTAGGAGAAACAAATTGCACACTAATTGCTATTACTATCCTTTCTTCAAAGTTTTCTAAGTAATAATATGCTTTATTTTGTAAATAATAAAAATATTAATCTTTTAAACATGATTTTTAACTGCTAGGTATGACAATGATCACTACAAATTGATCTAAACCGTATTTCGTCACGAAATCGATTTTATAATCGAGAAAATTAAACTCATTATGTGATATTTATTGCAGCTTCATTGATGAAAATAAATGAATAGCTAAGATTTCGACAATTTGTGTGTAAGCAGAATTTGTTGAATAATTAATTGATTATAGTTATTTATTATCTAAACACATTATGGTACATTACTATTGGCAGTTAATTTCCAAAGCTAGCCTATGAAATGCTGTATTTCCTAAATGAATAAAGAAATAATTACACATCTTTACTGTTAGTATACTTGATTTGTATCACAAACATCACATTTGCTTGTGGTGAATATGTGTGCTGCGTACCACATTCATTTTTGTTGGAATTTTTTTATGAATAAGAATGAATTCAATTTTCAGGAAATTGAGAATGCAAAATTTAATAGGCTCATGAGTTGCCACAAGATTTTGCTTCTTGAACACTCCGAAATTTTGTGTTGGAAAAATTTTTGGCAAATTTTTGGTAAATTAAATCCATCTTATTCATGCAGTATATTTAAATTACACATTTAAAAATAATTGATGTAAAAATTCTGACAATTTTGAAAAGTGAGGAAAAATTTTTTTTTCCATTTTTAAATGCACATTTTCATCCGTGATGTTCGAAATAATTCCTTTGAAATCGATGTCCAAGATGATTGCACCGTTCCTCTACTTAAACAAGCCATTGCTGAACACAAACACTGCTCAATTGATGGAATAAAGTTATTATTTGCTTCAAAAATTCTCCACGACGACTTTGATCTTAAATCAATTCAAACAAACGAAAAATCCAGAATAGTTTTATATGTCAAACCAGAAAAGAACAACACATCACCAACAAAACTATCAGAACCAGTGAGTGCACCTGTAAGGGAAGAGCCTAAACCAGCTCCACCAGTAGAACCAATGAAACCACAACCAAAACCTGTACAATCTCCTCCTGCTCAGCCTCAGCAACCGAAGATTACTCCAATGCAGCAACAACCAATGGCTCAGCAACCAATTTCAAGAGAAACTGTTCAAATGTATGAAGAGCAATCGCCAGATTCCCTCGAAAAAGCAATTTCTGCCATGACAGAAATGGGATATGATAAAGAAGTTGCTCGTGTAGCCTTAACATTGCTTGATAACAATGTTGAATCAGCAATTGACGTTATTTCTAGAGGATATAATACAATTGAAAAGTTACAAAATTATGAAGCAGATTATCGAGCGAAATATAGAACTTATTTCGACTCACTTTATGCACATATCATCCAAAATCCAGAACTCATACGATACGTGATTCAACACCATACATGTCCTGTTACATTACCAAATGGAACAATGACATTCACAAAAATCAATTATGACGACTTCATTAATTACTGTAATAAACATGGCCTCAATATCACCAAGGGAGATGTCATACGTTTGCAACCAGAACAGATGCAACTTTTTCAACAACTGATTCATGAATTTCCTAACGTTGAACAGTACACTATACTTCAGTATCTTCAAGCCTGTGATTTCGATTTATCAAATACAAGGGCATGTTTGCAAAATGAATAAAATGTAATTTTTTTTATAAGTATTTAAAAATTTAACTATTATAATAGCATTTTAAACATTGTTTATTTCTAAATTTCTATACTATAAGAAATTCATTAATGATTTAAACTCATATTCCTTGGTAAATCCTCTTATTCAAATTTTTGAAAGAGAATCACTCAATTTTGATGCAGGAGTATGATTAGAAGACTTTTCCTTGGAAAATGTGTTTAATCAGGCAATAGAAAAGTTCAATAACAATAACAATATATTCAATCTAGAACAAGTTGAACTTTTCAAGCGACTGATTCATGAATTTCCTAATGTTGAACAGTACACTATACTTCAATATCTTCAAGCCTGTGATTTCGATTTATCAAATATAAGAGCATGTTTGCAAAATGAATAAAATGTATTTTTTATATTGAGTTTTGGCCAATTTTTTTCCTAGTTTGCACAGAATCTGAGATGCTAAATACCATGTGGGACATTACAATTGGTTGCTGTTTAGCAAAGTTAACTTATGAAATACTTGTAATTACTTATAAATTCAGTTAGATTACTTGATTTTGTATAAAATAATCAGACTTATATTTTTTAACATTGTTTATTTCTAACTTTTAGCGTTAGTGGAAATTCATATATAAATTGCTTGAAAATGTCAAGAACTTTATTCGCTCTAAAACAGACTAGACTTTTCAAGAGTCTAATTCATGAATTTTATAAAAATCTGGATTGAAAAAGAGGTTTTCAAAATAATTTTATAAAATAAACTTTTTATCTACCTTTGCGTACAAGGATAAAAATGTAAGGAAGAATGTCCGATAATTTTCGTTTTGGAGTTTGTTTATTGTGGTTGATTGTTAATTCCCCTTCACATTGGCCTAGTTCATAGAATTTCAGACCATTGTGAAAAGGATCTGTTGTCATATCATATGTATCAATAACTCCAGAAAAAATACTCTCTGAATATTTATCAATAGAACAATGATATATATAAATTTGTGCAGATGTAGCGGCAAATAGAGCTCCACCAGAATTATTTTCGAAACTACAACTTAAAATTTCAAGATTTTTATTGCTAACTTCAACTATTCCATTGAGTCGTTGTGAATTGTTTATATAATTGCAATTTTCAATTCTTCCGCCACTAGAAGTGAACTGAGTGATAATACCTGAATTTGCTTTTAATCTTTCAAAATTACAAAAAGAAACTTTTGTTATTGATTTTTTTAAATCCAAATATGTAAAAGCAACTCCATAATTTGCAATGCAGTTAGAAATATTTGCATTCGAAAGAGATGAATTACCACTCTGTTGGCAAATCATTCCAGATCTACTGTTAAATCCTCCTGTTGAAATTGAGCCTCGAAGGATAATAGAATTGGGATTTTTAAAGGAACTTCCATAGAAATATGCAAAACTGCCATCTGAGTCAATTCTACTTTCAAATGAACAAAATTTATCAATAACAATATTTCCTGAATTAAATTTTACAAAAATAGTTCCTGGACCATTCGAAAAAACATTCTCTAAAAGTAAAATAGAAACCTCTTTTGAAAGAGAATCAAAATTGATTGCTCTATCTTGTAATCAAATGAATGTGCAGATATATGTGAAACATTTGTTTTCATCTGTTGGAATAGTTTGATTGATTCCTGTAATGACTTCTGGTTGTTCAATGTTTCCAAAATATTTTGACCAAATTCGTGTTAAGTATTCTTTTTCTTTAGATAAATCTGCCATGTTTTAAATATTCTGTTTCTATCTTTAATATTGAAAATATTCTTTGAATATGAGTCACGCAAGCCAAATGAATGATCAGAATGTACTTGAGTAAAAAGCTATTTTCTTTTAAATTTAATTTCGTAAATTTTCCTTGTAATAGAGTTTTAGTATCAATTGAAAATATTGTTTTCATCATTATTTTTAATATGTAGAGTGATTAAAGCTTTGGAAAATAAGATTTTGGAAAATAAAATTGAATAAAATCGAAATATTAGTAAATTTGACTGTTTTATCTTGAATAACTTGTGAATTTATATATGTGTTTGATACGTTTACTGTTATTTGAAGTGTTATGAATGTTTTGGATTCGATTAATTGAAGGAGGACCGACGCTACCATAATATTGGTACAGTAGATGCTTTAGATCTTCTTCGTTATGGATACTTCTTACAAATTTTACTAATTTGATATTGTTGTAATGAGTTTTAAAAATTATCAAATATTCGATTATTTTTGATTCAAATGCTGTTCGGCATTAGAATCAAAAATAATCATTAGTATGATAATTACACTTTTTCCCATTTTTACCAGGCATCACAAATTTCAAAATCTCTCGATTATTTTCAATTCAAAATATTAAACTACAAAATTAATCATATTTCCCATTAAATTCTTTTTCAAAAACCATTTACCAAGATAAATTAATGTTTATTTTTTATTCTGATGAATGATTCTTTTTCGACAGATCCAAACTTTGCAAAGATGATTAAATATGTTATAAATAAATCAACAGATACAGGAGAACTCATCCAAGCAATCCAATCATTCAGAAACTCATTAAATCTTCGCTATGTTTCACAATTTTTAAAACCACACCTTAATTGTTCACTTATCATGAAAGATGTATGGGATATATTATTCACACTTGTCGAACATCCAGATTCCAATGTTCGAATGTCAGTATATAACACTATGGGCGCAATAATCTTCTTTTTAGGGCCATTTATATCAGTATACATTGTCAATTCATTTCTCAAAGCCATCCAAAATCTTCAACCGAGCCAATACACATCACTTGCAGTCATTTCCTGCTATTGCCACTTGACTCCTTACATTTCTTTGCTCCACGAGAACGAGTTTTATTCATCACTGCCTATAATTCAACATTTCTCATTCTATGCACCTGAAAATCACAAGTATTTCCTGACTCTTTTCTCTATTCTCACTCCAAATAATGAATTTTGTTTTTCTGTCTATAATACATTACTTCAGAGTTTTGGAAAGGATCCAACACCTGAACTCGTCAAGTCTTTATACGAATTACTCAAACATTCCCCTGAAATTTTGTCACAAGATTATTATTTATTTTCCAAACCGGAATTTTCGAAATTACTGCTTATGATTTCACCACAAATCCTCCAAAATGATGTTTTATTCAAAATTTTGACAGAAAAACAAATAAATTATTTAATTGAAATTTCAAGTCTATCTTTATTAAGAGATGACATCCAATTCATTGAATTTGAGCAATCATGTCTCATTATTGCGATTTTCCAATCAAAAAACATAAAAATTCCTGGAATTGAAAAGATTTTTGAAAAATCTCTTCCAGAACATCTCAAAATCTTCACTTTCAAGCTGACAACTAACTTTAATGACTTGATACCAATTGAAAATGACTCATTATCCACAATAAACTCAAAAATCGACGCAATTTCATTTTATCTCCAAAAAAATCCAGAAAATTTCAAAGATTTAATCAAAGGATTTGACATTTTCATTGACTATCTTGACAAATCAAGTGAAACATTCACACATTGCGTTGATTCATTGATTCCTTTTTATTCTGAAATGAAATCAGAAATTTTTGACAACAAAGACATAAATTTGAGATATTTCAAAGCCTTAGATATCATACTAACCACGAAAACAAAGAACTGGGTCCAACAAAACAAAGTTGTTTCATTTTTGAGTAAAATTCCAAATAATTTTGGCGAAAAGTTGATAAAAGGATTTGAGAAACGGAGAATTTACTATTTAATGGAAGCGACATTAAACAAACAGAAGAATTTATCAAAATCTGCAGTTGAAATTTTGTCAAATGTGATATCTTCAAAAAATCTTATAGATGTGATTGATTTCATCATACATTCAGATATAATCAACGCTCATGAGCTCCATTGCTGTCTAAACGTTGTAAACAAACTTTCAGAAAAATTTGGAATTTCAAAATTTGTTTGTTTAGAGCCAATCTTTACGGAATCGTTTCTTATGAATCCATCCATTAGTGTTTCTGCAAGTTATTTCAAGTTTTTCTCAGAAATTGGAAAATTTGATTCTTCAATTTTCTCGAGATCTAAAGATTTACTTGCGAAACTCCTCAAATCATATATAGGAACAGACCTAGGCCTTGACCAAGAAAATTTGTCCTATGATTTGCCTCCTTTGAACACTTTACTCAATACTGACATTTTAAGTCATAAATTAGGAGAGGAAAATTTATATTTTGAGTGCCTTAGAGAGTCATTGACGCTTGTTACGCGTGCAAGCAACTATGATACGTCATTGCTACAGCCTTGCTTGATACTTACGCGACTATTTCCGACAATTTGTTTTGAATATTTTATGAAATATCCGAAAACTACCGAAGAACTCAAAGCAAAGATAAAGGATATACTGACAACAGCTAATACAATATCATTGGCCGCAAAAGCAGCAGCTGCGGCTAAAAAATTTGAGCTAAATGACGAAAATACCAAAAATTGTATCGACCAATATCTCCAAAACTATGAAATACATGATGCAAGAGACTTATATAACTTCTATTTGTATGTTGATAAGGATATTATTAGCTATTTGTCGAAATTAGACCAGAAAAATACTTGTTTATTTGAATTTCTCTCTGATTCGAAGCTCTCTGGAGCAGATTTCACTGATAAGATCTACTACGTGAAGAACTTTGACTTCCAGGACTGGCCAGTCGAAGATAAAGAATTTTATAATTATATTCAACAGAATATACAGACATTGATAGACTCAAAGACACCAATAATCATAAACAAACAGTTAGATGACTGCCATTTGAGATTTATTGGTGAATTTCCCGAATTATTCAAACAAATTTCGGTTGATGAGAAATTTAGCTACCAAAGGACATTCAAGGGTGTATCAACAGAAGATTTAGCCATGGAATCTTCAATTACTCCTTCAATAATTCAAAATGAAATTATTGATGATGTTTCTTTGTTGAAATCATTCTGTTTATACTCAGATTTGAAGGTTGAAGATGATATTTACAATGCTATTTGCCAACTTTTGGTGAAATATAATTTATATAATTTATTATTCGAGTATTCTGTCAAATTTAACCGTGAAATACCCAAAGAAATACTTAGTGAAATAGATTTGACTTGTTTGGACGACGATACACTCATAAATCTCGGAAATTATTATTATAATTTGCCGAAAAAGCCTCAAATCCTCAAAGATTTCTACAAGAGCTTAGCTGTTAAGTATTCCAACCCATTATTACACATGAAACGCAACAAAACAGCTAGGGCAGTCGTTAATTTCAATCCACAACGCGCTTTGGATTCTTTCATTGCCAATTTCAAGCCGACCACGAAAAACGTGAAGTCACTGATTTTCTTCGACCAATTATACGGTCATTCAATAGATAAGGAATATTCAGTGATAGACAAGCTCACGACGTACGAATACGATGATGAAGAAGACTTTAAGCTTGTACTATATGTTCTGAGGTATTTCAGATCATTTGTGTCCTTTTCTCAGTCATTATTAAATTCAATTGAATCTTCTTTGTTGAATGCTAAGAATGCTGCACAATTAAATGAAGTAAGAGGTATTATATCATATTTCCCAGCAAAGCAGTACTTGCAAGGCTTCGCAAGTAATTATAAAAATTTAAACAACCTTTTCGTTGAAGGATACTCTAAAATTGAGTCCGCAACGTATGATATGATAAAATGGAACTTATATCTGCAGATTCCATCCCAAATCATCTCAGTTTTGAGGAGTTTGAAGTCAATTTCTAATAATTACGTTTTTGGTCAGACTTATTGGGCCACCATCCAATTAATCCAAAACTTTGTTCCAAGAAATATTATTCTCCTTCAAGAATATGCAAAGTTTTTGCTTTATTTGGAGTCATCTGATAATCCACCAAAAGTTTATGGGCAATACATCAAACCAGCGGCCATAACGTTCCGAAATAACCTGAAACTCGAAACAGAGAAGGAGTTATTCCATTTATTCGATGATCCAAAACAAAATATTCAAGATTCTTCTGACAAACCAGCTCTGATGAAAGCAAACAACTATTTCATGAAGGGAATTTCACTTCCTCCACATACGAACCTCTCAGAAGAGCTTTTAACCGAAATGGGGACAATGGGAGCTGCTTATTTCGTTATCGGACTAGCGAACAACTTGAACTCACATTTCTTTGATTTATATATTGTTTTGGCAACAATTATTCGAAGAATGACAAGAGAAGAATCTGTCGCATTTCGGAATATATCGAAATCACAGATTCTACCCGGAATGACTAATAAACAAAGGCAACACTCAATTGAGCTGCTTTTGGAAGGAAAAAGAAAGTCAAGATTGGCAGGTGCTGCTGAAGCTGCTTCTATCGACTCTATAAAATAAAAATATATTGTATTTGTTTGTTCTTTTTATTTATAATTTAAAACTCTTAAAAATATTGATTGTATTTTTTTTATCAAACGAATAAAATTTCATTGAATTGATATCGGAACATATTCCCCTCAATTTTGTAAACAACATTCAAAAAGTTCGAATATTTTATAATTAAAATAGATAGTAAACCATTTGTTTATTAATAATTCTCAATAAAAATAAACTGTAAAAATATTGAATATTTTATCTTTTATTTTCATTTTGCTCTATTTTACATATAAGTATATAGTTATTATGGATCATTTTTTGTCAAGACCATTAATTCATTCAAATATTTCAATATTTACACGACGATAAATTATTTTTTTGAAGCAATAATGGAATAATTAACTTTCCAACAATGGCTCAGGATTTCCAATTTTTCTTTTTGTCAACATTATTTTTACATACCAAAGGACTCTCCGATTATTCAATGGATCATTATAACTCATTTTCAAAGGAGAAATTTAATTTTCAAAGTAACAATGGAATATTTAATATATGGAAGTCAAATCATATAAAAAAGAATACTTAACACGAATTTGGTCAAAATATTTTGGAAACATTGAACAACCAGAAGTCATTACAGGAATCAATCAAACTATTCCAACAGATGAAAACAAATGTTTCACATATATCTGCACATTCATTTGATTACAAGATAGAGCAATCAATTTTGATTCTCTTTCAAAAGAGGTTTCTATTTTACTTTTAGAGAATGTTTTTTCGAATGGTCCAGGAACTATTTTTGTAAAATTTAATTCAGGAAATATTGTTATTGATAAATTTTGTTCATTTGAAAGTAGAATTGACTCAGATGGCAGTTTTGCATATTTCTATGGAAGTTCCTTTAAAAATCCCAATTCTATTATCCTTCGAGGCTCAATTTCAACAGGAGGATTTAACAGTAGATCTGGAATGATTTGCCAACAGAGTGGTAATTCATCTCTTTCGAATGCAAATATTTCTAACTGCATTGCAAATTATGGAGTTGCTTTTAAATATGAATATTTTAAATCACCTTCAAAAGTTTCTTTTTGTAATTTTGAAAGATTAAAAGCAAATTCAGGTATTATCACTCAGTTCACTTCTAGTGGCGGAAGAATTGAAAATTGCAATTATATAAACAATTCACAACGACTCAATGGAATAGTTGAAGTTAGCAATAAAAATCTTGAAATTTTAAGTTGTAGTTTCGAAAATAATTCTGGTGGAGCTCTATTTGCCGCTACATCTGCACAAATTTATATATATCATTGTTCTATTGATAAATATTCAGAGAGTATTTTTTCTGGAGTTATTGATACATATGATATGACAACAGATCCTTTTCAGAATGGTCTGAAATTCTATGAACTAGGCCAATGTGAAGGATACCATAAAATTTTCCATTACCCTCCAACTCATCCTATTACTCCAGTAGTATCATCAAATAGAAGGAGATAAATTTTATTTATTATAACTTTCATCAAAATTAATTTACTTTTTCATATTAAGGATACCCTTACGTGTCAGATTTTTTGCGCATACGAAGAAGTCATGCTAGACATGAGCTATAAACCTGAAATTTTAGCAACATATTTAAAACTTTTTAAACTACAATACACTTTAATATTCAAGAACAAAAATATTCTTTTTAGAGATTACATAATTATTTTATGTGAAATCTATATAAAAACATATTTTGCGAGCGTAACTTTTTTCTTTATAAGCACCTTATATGACTGATAAACTGTGAAGGCACATAATTGTTAATTCATAGAGTTGATATGTTTCCAAAATTGAGAGGAAATTTGAAAATTGAATACCCTTTCAATTCAATTTTCAAAAGATATCAGCTCCTTCAATAATTGAAGGACGATTTTGATCATTTGCTCTTAAAACAAGTATGCCATGGAGAAAAAAGTTACGCTCGCAAATCTGAAATATAACTATCATATAAAAAAATTAAATTTCTAATTTTTTACTCTATAGATATTATTGGCCACTTGTGTAATGCATAAAAGTTTATGTCATATGCATACATTTGGAAGTATGGGAGACGAGGGAAATTACTTCTATGAGGCACTAGGATTTTTAAAAATTTCTCTATCGGACTCACCATTCAATTTCTCGAAAATTAAAAAAAATCAATAATAGCTAAAATGTATTATGCATAACAAATTTTAATGTTACACGGTATTTTTTGAACTTCATGACATGAATTTTCTTTATATTATTTTTTTTTTTGGATTTTCTATGATTTATGCGATAGGCTGGAACAACATTGTAAGTGCAATGATATCATTTATAGAGAAATCTAAAACTTCAGCATTCAGAACTCGCAACCACAAAAATATTCATTTGCTAAGTAAGTAAAGTTGATTAAGTTCGACACTTAGCTTTTATACGTAAAACCAAGTGTGTATTGTTATTTCTTGTTAAATTATTGAGAAAAAAATAAATTGTAAGAGAAACGATACTGATTATTGAAATAATATTGAGGGTAGCTGCAGATTTCTTCATTAACATGCCGGAAATTTGTTAATCTTGGTTTTCTATCATAAAATCTGTCGAAGAATCTAAAAACGGAGATATGAAATAGAGATCATGTAAATCTAGAGTATCCTGTCAGAAAAATAGACTAAGCATGTAACCCTTTTTTGGTCATAAACACTTTTTACCACTTAGTCATACAGATGATCATTAAATTTAAACGAGCACTTTTTGTCAGAATTTATTCTTTTACAAAGACAGAAGATTTTAGTATTATTTAATATTAGTGCTGTAGCAAAATTCAAAAAACGGTGAAAATTCAGTGAATTTGTGAATTCACATTTTTTTTCGACATTTTTCTTGATATATCCATGCACATTAAGAACACAGCTTTGATACGCTTAAAAAAGCATATTTTATATGAAATTGTTAAAGAAATAAACAATTTATATAAAAATTGCACTTATGGGCAGTTTAGATATATAATTTATATATAACATATATACAAATCCATAGACAAAGTGCAATAACTACAATGTTGTAGAAAATTACAGCAGAAATACTGACTTTTTGAAGGATAATAAGAATTCTTCTAAATGTTGTATTTTTATAATTTGATTGATTTTTTTTACTATTTCATTAATCTTTTATGAATAATAATTATTTTTAATATATGTGCTATTAAAATTTCAAATTTTGACTAATATATCTAAGTTATCTGAACGAAACATTTAGAAAATATCATACTTACATTGAAATAGCAAGTAGAGCATATTAATAGCAAGTTTCTTGGCTTTATATCTATCATCTATTGTTGTTTGATCAAACAAAATTCACTCTATTATATGGTGTCAATTAATTAAAACAATTTTTAATAGTTATTTATTTAGTGCGAATAAGTGCAAACTCATAAATGAATAACTTAATAGTAGAAATGAATTATCTGATATAAATCTCACATTTTGTCCATCAGAAATACTTTAATTGCATACGCATAACTATTAGTAATACGTCTGGAGTGTCAATTAATAACAATCCCACAACAAGTAAAATTCAGATTTTTATTAAACTTATTTTTTCCTAAAAGTTTTCTCAAATTACTATATATACATATGTGGATAAAATAATAGTAATATTGTAAAAAATTAGATAATTTTTTTTATTTGAGAACCTCTCAAAAGTTCATTCAATTTATCAATTGTTTCAGTTTGATGTATATTCATTTCTGGAGCCTAAAACTTTAGCAATCATGACAATATCATATTCTCTTTCTAACTACGCAATGTAAGGGTATCCTTAAGATAAATAAACTTATATTACAATAATTTCTATATTTCTATTTGGTAATAATTGTTTGATTATTACTCAAAAGAGGTTGAATTTTTTAGTTATCAATATGAAACATGTAATCAAATTATAATTGCAACATCCACTAATTTCAATTTTTTTTAATCTCAATTATATCTGATTGATGAGTGTTTTTACATTAAGTTATGTTTTATTGGAGAAGGCAAATTCATGATTAGCCGGACAATCGTTATTATTTTCAATTTTGTATATATTGAAATTTTTGAAATTAAACAATCAATTAGAAAAAGTTAACATATTCTGAATTATTTATTATAAAATATTGTTACGATTTTTTCATTTCAATTTTTTTTTCACTTCAGAAAAAGTTCAAAAGTAATTGTCTCAATTGAATTGATAATATCATTTCATTTTCCATAAATGTGTGAAAACCTTCGACTTGTTTTTCCACAATGGCAAGGAGGTGAGCCAAAGTTGATAGATGAATGCGTGAAAGACTTCGATCCCAAAACCAAAGCTCAAGGATATTCAATTGGATCTTATTTATTAAACTTCCTTGCATCGAAATCAGAGACACCAACAGAAATCGTTCCTGTATCTGATGAGTTCAATGAAGATATATTAAAAACAGAAAAAGAGATTTATGCATACCAAATTTTAAAGAAACAATTGGAAGCGGCATTTAATATACTCAACATCAGGAAGCCAAAGAGAATTGTCACATTTGGAGGTGAATGCTCAGTAAGTATTGCTCCATTTACATATCTTGCATCATTATATAAAGATGATATCTCTCTAATTTGGATCGATGCTCATATGGACTTCTTCATTCAAGGCGATGGAAACATTGGATTCCACGGAATGCCAATGTCATTAACACTTGGTATTGGCGAAGAAGAAATCAAAAAGATGCTTCCAGGATCCATTGACCCAAGCAATGTTTTGCTTGTTGGTTTAAGATACTTCTTGAAATCTCTCGAGGAAAGAAGAAAGTCAATGGGCATTCCTTACATTTCTCCAGAGAAAGCAAATGAATCAACAACTGAAATCATGGATTTCCTTCACAAGAAAGGAAATTCTAAAGTTGTTATTCATTTTGATTTAGATTCACTTGATCCTAGTGATTTGAGTGTTTGCATGGCTCCCGAACCAAATGGTCTAAAAGTTAACACAGTTGTTAAAATTTTCCAAGAGATCAGTAAGGAATATGATATTGTCGGACTTACTCTCTCAGAGATCTTCCCACGAGAAGTCATCAAACTTCGAAATCTTGTTCATAGCATTCCAGTATTTTAAGCTAATAAACTCATTTTTAATGAAATATATTTTATTCTCAAACTAACTTACTAATAACAATTATAAAGATCGTTAAATTATCTTTTATTCCATTATAATATTTACTGTTTCTATTTTGTGATATATTAGTTTATCTTGTTACTCTTGGAGCAAATATTAAACTAATAGTTTTCTAGGAGTACAGCATACTGCATATTGCAATATTTCAAATAATGACAATAAAACACCATTTCATTTGACTGTGAAAAGCAAACAGTGATTAAATAGCAGAACTTCTCATCTCTCATAGATTTACTGCCTGAGAAATGAGAACGCTTCCAAGGATTCATGAAAATACAACTAACATTTACTGATGACTTTAACGCTAGTTTGAATATGATAATGTGGTAGAGAACTAACAAGCACTGCATACTATCAACATATAAACTTGTTCTTTTCTAACATTATTAATGATGACAAAGTTATCAAAAATACATAAAATCATAGAGAAATAATTTATAAAGCATGTTTTCTTTTATTAAAAATAGATAACACAGTAAAAATTTCTTATAATATCTTGCTGTGAAACTATTTCACTTATTGTTGTTCATATATTTTGAATAATCATAGACAAATTTTGATATTTCATCCAATTATATAAATTGAAACAATAAACATGACGATTTCAATACTCTATAGGTTTATTAAAACAAACATAATAATATTGCATAAAATAAGTTAAGCTGTTATTTTCATCAGGATAATCAGATCATTTCTATTAATAACATCATTATTTTTGAGCTGCAATGCCTTATTATCTGCATATCTATATAAATGAAATCGATATCCTGTAAATTGAGAAATTTTTTGAGAAAGTAGCTCTGAAGTTCCATTTCTGAAGGGAACAAGGAATGGTTCGCCATTAACAGAATAACTTCCATCTTTCATGACGTTTCCGACAACAATTGGGAACAAATCATCTGAATTATAATCAAATTGCACCTCTGGAACTTGTTCGCATCTAATTATATCATAATTAGCGCAAACATCAGAGAAATCACATATTTTCTGTATGATTCCATTAGAAATTTCCAAAAATCTGTAAATATAACCATCATTAATTATATTTTCCTTGATAAACATCTGCAAAACATCTGATATAGTTGCATTGCATGGAATAGTTATTCTTTTCTTCTTTCCATATTTAGGAGATGATGGATTAAACGTAAACAAAGAAATTCTTTCACTTTTTTGACAAAAATCAACAGAAAAATTATAAATTACATTTTCTTTGAAAAGAAAATCATTTTGGACTAAATTGTCCTTAGAATCAAACAAATATATATCATTTCCATTCCTATAGATCTCTCTTTGCAAGTAGTTTTTGATTTCTTCTAAACTTAATTCACTTGAAAAAGCAAATTTATAATCATCAATATGAATTTTGATTCTTTTGTTGAAATCTGACATGTAATTTATTACATTATCAAATTCAGTGATTCCTCCAACTCTTCTATATGCAGAATCAGAAGAAACAGGTTGGAAACAATGTTTCGAAATGAAATCTTTCTCTTCAAAACAAAGAATTTCTCCGTTTGAAATATTTAATTTTCCGATTTCTTCATCAACATTTAATCTTTCAATTTGAGTTAATCCAATCGAATAAACATCATAATCTTCATCAACATCATCATCACTCAAGAATTGATTTACTTCTTTTCTATTATCATTTTCATTTTCATCAGAATCACTTAAAAAACTCTGTTTCAAATCATCTTTTCCTTGTTCATTAAGTGATTTTTGATTTCCATTTTCTCTTTCATTTGATTGCTGATTTTCTTGTGTTTTTCCGTTCAAATAATTATTGTCTTTTCCACTTTGGTTTCCTTTTGATTGATTATTTTCTTCTGCTTTTCCGTTCAAATCATGTTTATCATTTTCATTTAATTGTTTATTAACTAATTCTGTTTTATCTTTATCATTTCCATTTTCAAGTAAATCAGTTCCATTTTCTCTTTTATTGTCTTCTGTTTTTGCATCCAAGTAATGAATATTTTCTTTTCCATTTTCAAGTAAATCAGATCTATTTTCATTTGATTGCTTACGTTCTTCTGCTTTTAGATTCAAATTATTATCTTTTCCATTTTCATTAAGTACTTGATGATTTAAAATCGGATTTTCTTTCTTTGCGTTTTCTTCTTTTGATTCATGATTATTTTCTGAATCATCACTTAAATAACTCTTTGTTTTATCATTTCCATTTTCATCAAGTAAAGAATTCTTTGATTCATTTTTCTCAGTTGGATTGTTCAATAATTTAGAAACGGTGTTAAACAAATCTCTCAATTTGTTTGATTTCTTTGTTACAACAGATGATAAATATTGTATTGGAGATTTCTCTTCTTTGAAATAAAAATGAATAAACAAAATAATTTCATCATTTTCGATGTCACTTTTTGTTTCATTTCCTTTGATTTTTTCCAAAAACAATGATTTTGGTAATTCAGAAATCAAACTTTCATCTGGTTTAACATATTCCATTATCTTGCCACCAGATCCAATGGTCCATAATCTCACTTCACTTATGTCACTTTTCATGTCTAAACAAATTCTTTCATATAAATCTCTTTTTGACAAATTTCCTTCGAAATACAAACATTTTCTGACATTTGTATTCAAAATCGACGGTTTTGACATCAAAGAATTTTCAATTAAACCTTCTTCAGTTGAAATAAAGAACTGAAATTCGAAAGGATTAATTTCTTCTTTTCTATCAGCTTCAGCAAACAAAATTGGGTTGATTTCGCTTTCATCAATTTCGGAGAAGACAATAGGTATCGAATCAACCTTTACATAAACAAGTAAATACGCAGATGACCATTTCATCCTTCCGTTTTCATGTCTTCCTCCAAAATTTTTGTCAAAAACTGACAAATCATCAGAAATCGAAACTTTCGAGTCATTGAACAAATAAAAAGAAGAATCAGGTTTCGGCTTGATGTACGCGAAGTAGTGTCCTCTATTTACTGATCCTGCATGGACAATTACTTGGAATAACCTGTATTTCACGTGATTTATTTCGATTTCATTGTGATATTCGAAATAATCCAAAACTTTCCAATTTTTCTTCTGTTCTTGGTTGTAAACTGTTCTTCTTAGATGAAAGATCATGACATCGGGTAGTTTCAGGAAATAATATCCAGTTATCTTCAAAGCTTCAAGAGAATTTTCAATATTATCTAAATTTTGGACACCGATTTGTACATCGAAGAAAGGAGTGTCATTTCCATTGATGTAACATTTGCCTTCGATTGGTTTAACTGACTCTGGAATATTTAATGATAATAAATCGAAAAAAATATGAAGTGTTTCTTCAACATCTCTCATTTCGTAGATATCGTCTTCTGACCAGCCTAAACATAATGTTAAGTTGGTTGTTATTGCAACTTTGTCTAAATACTTCATTCGAAAAAATAATCTTTGTAAAGCATTGATTTCGTTGTTTTGGATTGTAGATTTCAATATAGTATTACGTAATTGAGCTATGTGAAATAGCATTTGTAATGCTGTGTTTAAATAACAAGTACATGATTGATTTTGAAGACCGCAATAAGGATTTGTGATCAATATATTATTACTGTCTTTAATGTCGGTAAATTGGTTGATTGTTGTCTGAGATTTTGGAACTTTTTCTTGTTTTTTACGATTTGTTTTCGTAGCTATTTGTTCTGGATGTTGTATTTTAAGAATTAAGCCAAATGTATCGGAAGTAATGACTTTAGCCTGTTGAAATTCTGAAAATGATGAAGAAAATTTGCAAATTACTCGAGTCATGTTATTATTTACGTCTTGCGTAGTATTACAGGTAACTTTTTTACTTGTTCGAATCTTGCATGTAAATTTTAACTTCATTGCGTGGATAGGTCTAACAAATTCAACAATCAAATAAAATTTTTTCTCTGTAAGGGAAGATCTCGTAGAAACAATGTTAAATTGATAATTTTCGAAAGAAAATGGCCCAAACTTTTCCTCAGGCTTATCTCTAGGGACAGTAATTTCAGATTCAATCTCCATTGAAGGAGAAAAAAATGATTATAATATAAAGATTTTATAAAAAGTATAGATAGAATGGATTTGAAAGTACAATTTTAAATTAATTATAGCCAGATAATAATTGTTTTTAGGTTCAAAAAATAAAAAAGTGGGTGAACCGTGAATCGAACACAGATCTATTGAGCCACAATCAACAATACTAACCATTATACCATTCACCCCTTACAAATTTTTTATTTTCGTGATTTTTAAAATCAATTCTCTTGAATCGAAAAGGCAGAATTATAAAAAACCTTCTTGAAATAGACTCTAATGTAGTAAAATTAAATAAAAAGATCGATACTTACTAAATAAATACTTCAAATAGTTTAAAACATGTAGAGAGCTGCCAATATTAAAATCAAAATGGCAATAATCACGCATAATGGTGAAATATTGCCCAAATCTGCTGATTGGTTTTGTTTTTTAGCAAGGCTCGATTGTTCTTTGACTTCTTGTGTTTTTACTTCCGTAGCAACTTCCTTTGTTTCTTTAGGCGTTTCTTGTGGTTTCTCTGGTTCTGTTGGCTTTGGTTCTTCTTCTTTGATGAGGCTTTCTTCGAAATCTTTTGGAAGATCACGAGTTTTAATGGATTCCATTGTATTATTAATGTGTTTAGTATCAACAACGACTTTCTTTTTGATTGGAACTTCAGTATTAAGAGTTTTGGATTTAGCCAAGCCTTTAGTATTTTCATAAGGATCTTTATCGGTGAATAAGAATGTAATTGTTGGCTGACACTTTGGGAATGATTATGGATTGCTAACTAACATTTCTCTTGTTAAAATTTTGCCCATTTTTGGTAATAATGAAAAAAGTTTCAGTTTTAAGAAGCAAACTGGCTCAATCCCATCTTCTTCCATAACACTGAACTTAATAGAAGAACATTCATTCTTCAATACTGAGAAATATTCAGTCGGATACTCAGGATTTAAGGATTTTTCAACAACTTGTGTGTCTTTGTTTAGTCTGAGTTTATTATCACCATCCCTAACCTCTACTTGAACATATGTGTTGAGTTTTCCATCGGAGTTCTTATCAGGAAGACCTCTGCAGTTCACAACACTGAAGTGTAACATTTGTGAGATGAAAAATAAAAATTATCAGAAGTTATTTCAATAAAATTTAATTTAAATTAAATTTTATAAAAATTAATCACATTGAAGTAATCTTTAACTGTAATTTTATTATTATTTTTTTATGTTCATTTCAAACAAAAATTGTCCTAAACAGCTGGCAGAATGACAGAATGCAATAGATAGCTGAATTGCATGTTATCTAGATACGTGATCTTTGCTACATTCAGATAAATAACTGTCATCTCTTGCTTTTCAATCAATAAAATTTTAACATTCCATTATCTCATGCTTTCAATTCAACGGACTGATTACAATTGATGAATCAAATGCAAACCTTGTCTTTGACTTTACATACAAATTGAATATTAAATTTTATTATCTATTCCATCATTTAATTTTGATTTTCGTGTCAAGCATATATTCACATCGTTTTTTAAAATCAATGTTTGATACGAATTTTATCTGGATCAAACATACAAAAATCAAAATTTGATTTAAATATTACACTAAATAAAATCAACGTAATTCTATTTTAATTAACAAGCATAGTTAAATTACACTTTAGTTGTTCAAAAACAAATGAATATCTATGGAAAAAATATTATCCTACAGTTACAATGCCAAATCCAATTATTACAGCTCCAAGTGATGGAATTTCTAAAGAAAATTCACCTGATATTTATATTTCAAAATGCTTATTTAAACAAAATTCAGAAATTTCGATAAATAATTCGGATTGTAACTGTTTGATAGATTGCTCTACCTTTGATAATTGTTCAAAATCTTCAAGTTGAGGATCTATACTTTTTTCTCAAGGAAATCTTGTAATTTCAAAATCAATATGTTCAAATAGTAGCATTCCTAATTTACAATATGGTTTATTTGTTTATTTTGTTGGGAAAATATATGAATCGGCTGTAAAAATGCTCTATCTTTCGACAAGTAATGATGGCATAAAATATGATCAATATGGTTCAAGTGGAGATATATTTAGTAAATCATGTAATTCAATAGAAATAAAATATGTTAATCAATCTAATTCAAAAGCCAGATCAGGAACTTGCCTTTTTCTCAAAGATGCTAGGAGTTCTAATATTTTATATTGTCATTTTAACATAAATTTTGGTTATAGCTCTATCCTAGAAATTTATACAAATTCAAATATGAGTTATTGCAATATTTTGAATAATTCTATCAATAATAATCAAAAAAATGCAGTCATTAGAATTAGTTTTATTGAACTCAAAATTTCTAAATGCAATATAATTCATAAGATTGGTGACAACGTATATTATCAACCAACAGATATGGGATATGAACGTGGAAGTTTCTTTGTTTCAAAATGCTATATTCCTGAGAGCAATCAATGGGCAAACAATGAATTAGTAAAAAATTTACCAACTTACTCACCTAGAAACATATCGATTGAAATAGAAATCAAAGCTATAGAATGTTTTTCATCATGTAAATTAAAATATCCAGCCATTTACAAAAGAAATGCCCAGAATCAAATTCGTTGTATGCTGAAATTGAAATTTCCTTATATTTTTCAAAATCTAAACTGTAAAATCAAACTTACATAATATTTTAAGAATCAATCTTATTATAGCGATATATATATATATATATTTTTAAATAACACATTACTCATATATAAACCATAAAAAACTTGAGTCATGTGGAAAATTTGCTATGAATTGTCAATATTGAACAAATATTTAATGTTCATTATCCCAGAATGTAATGAACTGTTTAAATGAGTATCATAGTGCAATTTATATTCTTAAGAAACTAATATCTTTATGATAATATATATAAATACAAAACAAATAAAATTAAAAAATAAAAATAAAACAAATTAAATTATCTAGCATCAAAAAGAGACATGTTGCCAAGTTCTTCTTCTTGATGTTGTTGTTGGAAATATGTTTTGCCTTTAAGGTTCAGCCATGAGACTTTGTCCGAGAATGCACGGTAAAAGATAGATTGTTGTTGTGTAATTAAATCAAGAACTTTAATGTATGGATGAACAATCTTTTGTGCTTTGTAAAGAAGCATCTTTTGTGATTCCATAGACAACAAACAGTATTGATTAAAAACGTCAATGGAGCGAAAGAAATATGATGATTGTGACAACTCTGTAACTAACATAGTAAACAACAAACGGTGATTGATGTTTTCGAAATCAATCCCTCGTCGTCCAACAAATGTCATCTTAGAAATCAAAAGAGGAACTGAAATACTGCTGCTATGAATCATGTATTCCAAAACACCACAAACTGTTTCTTCACTAGACATTTCAAGCAAATCACAATATGGATCAGCAAGAATGATCATAGCTGTTGTAATACGAACTAATACTTTGTTGGACAGCTTGGAGAAGTGTTTAAGATAACTGGAATATTTGAAGTCTGGGCGCATATGAGGAAAGCCACTTCGAACGAAGAATGAAATACATGCTGCACATAATTCGCTGTCCGTAAAATATGAAAACAAATCATATGTTGTGAAGATGGAATATGCAAGTTGTAATGAATCTAAACTGGTTAAAAAGAATCGGTCTTCTTCTGGATTATTAGCTAAACGCCACAACCAAATAGAAACACGCTCTTTAGAAACATTCAAAACATCATTGACTTTGAATTGTGAGAAGATTTCAGCACAAATACTAACATTTTCATGCACATTCATGTTGAAGAAATTGTATCCTAATTCGGGACTTAATACTGGTATTGATAAGACTTCCATAGGACTATCTGGTTTCTGTTCGTCTCGAGATGCCAAAAGAGCTAAAACTAAATCGGCGAAATATGAAAGAGCCATAGATTTATCGGGTGTCATTGGACTTGATATCTTGATAGAAGCATAGATCTTACGGTCTCGTTCTAGATTCAACGCATTTGGATCTGTCTCTTGTTCATCGTGAAGAGGAGGATCGAAAATCTCTAATTTAACACATTTGCCAAATAAATTAGTGAATGAAACCATCAAAATCCGCAATAAATCGGTGAATGGCATAGGACATGCAAGAACATTACCAAGTAAATGCAATGAACGAACAACTGGTTTGATTTCTTTCATGTTGACGATCTTGTGATGCAAATCAAGTTGACGAGTAGAAAGTTTGGAAAAACTCATCAAAATAGATGTCAAAAATGGATCAAATGGATAAATCTGAAGTTTGTCTTTCTCAAGTTGCATCTCGAATGATTGTGGATTGATGTTCGGACGTGATGATGAGACAATAATAAATTTGTCACTCTTAGAATGGGCGGAACTCAAATCGAAGACAGATGTAGAAGTAATGCCATCTTCGTCATGAATGTTTTTAAGGCTTAATGGGATGAATGGCATCTTAGGGTCCTCTGTGTTAATATTAACATCCAAGTTGTAGAATGAACTTGATAATGAGTTCTTAGACAATTTAACACTTTTATTAGATGAATTCCGTGATTTTTTGGTGATCTTGTAAACATTCTCTGGAATTCGAAGTTTAGGTGTTTGTTCTTCCAAACTAGATAAGATCCTCGTGCACTGTAAAATGCCATTAGACTCTTCTTCTGTCTTAAGACGCATAAGTTGTGCTTTGAATTCGAATAAATAAATTTTGTTTTCTTTGTCTAAAATAGGCAAAACTAATATGCCAAAATTATCATTAACTGCAGCGGTTGGTTTCATGTCACAAATTGCATCTAAAAGTTGTGGTTCTGTTGGAACGGATTTATTTGTCTCGGCTTCATACAAATTCTCACCTTCATAAATTAAAAACCGAAAGTCAACTGATGGTTTTAATTTTTGACAAAAATTTGTCATAGCGAAAAACAAATTAGATGTCCCTGCTGCTTGGATTGATTTAAATATACTGAAAACGGTCAAGTTATATGCTCGGATGATATTAACATTGTTTCTGTCTAATGATTCATGAAGTTTCGATGATTCACAACATGTATGCAATAATGGTAAAATGCATTTAGACAAATTAGAAACTAAAAATGTTTCTTTAGAACTAAAAAATGTGCCATTTTGTCGGTTATATAAAACAAATGCACCTTTCACTTCGCCTTTATATGTAGTTGGTGATGCAACCATAGACCAGATACGTGGTTCTGTGATGTCATCAATTAAAACTGAAAATTCTTTAGCTCTCCTCGGCAAAAAATAATTCATCAATTCATTAGCAATAGCGGCACGACAAACTAAGCCGCGATCGATTTGTAAAACTTTACCACCAAGTTTGATACCTGTTGTCTCTTCACAGAAACCATCACCAACAACGGTAAATAACCTTGTGCATGAACTTTCTGTTAACTTGTTTGAAACACTAATGATTTTAGAAATCATGTCATGTGCGTTGTTGACATCGGCAATTTCACTCAAACCTTCAACCAATTTAGTCATGTCACGTTCCGTGATACTTGTTAATTCCCGAACAACAAGTTTAAGTAATGATGTGATATGTCTGAAGAAATAAAATAATGAAACAAAATCTGATGGAACAAAATCATCTCTTAACTTGTCAATAGCAACAAAAACAAATGGATATGGGTAATCTGGATGAAGTAGTGGTGTAATGAAACAGTTTTTGCTGCCTTCGAAAATATATGATTCGACTGCGATGTCGATTTCCTCTGAATTGCATGGATCTTTAATAAACTCGAAGTCGCCACGGTGAATGACACTAGCAATAAGACCTGTTGACATAGAGATTGTACGTCGGACATCGGAGTGAACGTAAGTAAGCTCATCAGATAGTGGTGATGATACTAAAAGTTTAACACGTTTGCATTTGAGGATTTGTGCACAGACATATTCGATTTCAAAAACAATTTCGAATGGATCTGTAATTAATGCTGAGTTTTCGAAGAGTTGTGTGAACATTGAAGATTCTCGATGGATTTCAATGACGCGTTGCATGAAAACCATACGATTCGCTGGTGGAATTGTTGCTAAGATGTTTGGAAGTGCTTGAACAAGACCATCAATGTTAATATCAAAGAACTTATTACGAAAGTATGGCTCTCCACAGTAATTTAACAAGCGTGGAACACCATTTTCGTTGAAATAATTATGTAACATTTCTGGATGTGAGTTTCTCATAATATTTGCAAATGAATCGGACTGATCTTGATTTGCGTTATCGTAATTTTGCTCTTGTACAACTGGTGGTAAAAGATTTGGCAATGGCTGAGATTTGACTAAGGATGACATTCTTCCTTTGCTTTCTAATAGTTGTGTACATACTGTAAGTCTGTCAATTCTTCCTTTCTGTTTTAACATCATGTGACTTTCACTTGTATTTTGTTTAATTTCACGAGTTTTGTTGACAAGGTTTGTAATTAATTGTGCATATTTTGTACGCCTTTTATGCATCTTTGTTAACCTTTTCATCAAATCTTGAGTTTGTCGATCTAATTCGCCTATTTTCTGATTTAAAGCTTCAAATTCTTCCGAATGTTTATCTTTTATATCAATTTTCGGAAGCAGCAAAACCGAACCATTCAACCTGAATGATGGTGAAGGATTGACTCTGCCTTGATTCGACAAAACACTTGAAATTTTTTTCTAAAAAAACGTGTTATAAAAAAAATTCTGAAAAAATTTTTTTTGTGGCTTACAGCAAAAAGTTTAGACTTGAAAAATTTATTAATAAGAGCTTAAATATTCCAGATATCGATGTAAGAGCCGATAATTATGAGGTGCAAAAATTTGAGGTAATTGTTTTTCTGAGAGATTGTAAAATTGTTTCGAATTTAAATATATTGGTACAATGTATTTATTAAAAGATTAGATTTTCGAAAAAAAAATTCTATGAAAATTCGTGTTTTATTGGTCGGTATCATGATGTAAGCCATTCAATTTTCAATTATTTAGGTCATGATGCCGACCAATAAAATTTACCCAATCTTAAATAATTAATATCATTAATACTATCGTTCACACTTAAATTTGAAATTTCATAATCTATTTATTATCTGGTAGTTTAATTTACGATATCAATATGCAATTATGTGCAATTGAAGTATGTTTACATAAACAATAGTTCCAGTCATTTATATGCCTAACAAATGCATAGCTAATTATCATGTAAACAGATCATATATAGAATATTCTGAATGAATAAAATAGAAAAGATAGTATATTGATACAAGTTCATTTGTATAAGAAAATTTAATATAAAGACATTTCTGTTTGATAGTTAGTAATGATTTTAGCAAACGTTTCAAATATCTCATCTTTCGGCTCAGGAACAATTTCAAAAGGAGGGAACACATTACAATCTGTTTCATCAAGATCGGAAATTTGAAAGAAAGATTGCTTTAAAACTATTTGTATTCATTGATGGTAATTTTGCTGCATTTATGTAACCCTGTTTAAAAAGTACCTATCACAAGTGTTTATAAATATATGTTTAAAGTATTTATTGAATTTTACAGTGATTATAATGGTATTTTCATTGAGAAATAGAAGAAGAATGCAATTACGTAATATCTATATCATGCGAATGCTGTGTCTCTACTGTTATTTGTTAGACATTTATTCATGCTTCTAAAATATTAGAGTTATTCCATTGTTTGTGCGTTATAAAAAATTGAATCGATATTTCCCATCAAACCGAAATTAAAGTATATCTCGGAAATCAAGAGTGAATTAAATTACATATGGGATCGATTTTTAGAAAAGTGAAATTCAAATTGCTCAAAAAAATTGGATATTCTCATTTTTGCTTTATGATCTATATGTTTGCAAATCCAAACCCTTTGCCAATTGTTTTGAAATTTTTATCGGTCAATTTTTAATTTATCGAAGATATTTTAAATATATGATGTTAAATCCATATATAACATTATTGAATTGAAAAGGGAAAACAATGAAAACACAATATTTTTTTTCTTGAACTTTAGAAATGAATATCAAGATTGACATTACCCAGTTTCGTGTCGATCAATCGCAACTTAAAATCGTCAAAGAACTTAGAAACTGCAAGTTTGGATCAGCAACTCTTGCAGAAAACGTCCTTACAGGCCAACTTTCAATTATTAACCACGTTCCTTTCAGTATGAATGTCCTTAAACTCGGACGGATGGTTCATCTTGCTTTTCTTCCTTACCAAGGAGTAATTCTTCAAACAGATACGACACAATTCGCTCTTGTCGAAGCTGCCACAAATTTGACTTTAACAGAGTTCATTAAGACACTAGATCCATCTGATCCAGCAAAGGATGCTAAATTGCATAACATTGCATTTGGAATTGCATCAGGAATGAAGTATGCAAATGAGGAAGGATATTTCCATGGCGATTTGACAACAGATAACATCTACATATCAGAAGACTTCACACCACTTATCCACAGTGTCGGACTTGCTAAATTGTACGGTCTTCAACGAGCTAATGATGTTAAATCGTACGGAATCATTCTTGAAACACTTTTCAAAGGTGGAAACTACACATTCGAGAATGATCTTGCACAGAAGATCAAAGATGGCATAGTAAACACATTCACCGAAATTTGTGATTTATTATACCAAAATTACAGCAGCAATTACATTTCTAAGCTTACGCATTTCGACAATGCACGCAACATCTCCGATGGAACACAGTTCTTCAGCAAATGTGACTTCCTTTTTCTTGCAATTCGAAACATCGGAACATCACCAGCTGTTGCAATTTCTAATGCATACTTATTGTTATGCGGCAAAGATCCAGTTCCTGTTCCTCCTGTCAATCCATCTGTTATTGGAATCCATTCAGACAACGACCTCCAGAAGTTGATTTGCAACTTCAAAGATTTCAAAATCGTTAGAGAACTTAAACTTGGATTTGGAATATCATATGTTTGTGAGAAGAAAGGAAAGCAATATCTTCTTTCTACAGTTCCATACAACATCCAGTTCAAGAAACGCTTTGACTTATTACATCCAGCATTATCAAATGTCTGTGGTATCATTCTTTCCGACAAAGACCATCCATTCTTCATTGTCGAAGATTACGGCAGCGAAATCCCATCTAATTTGATTGGTGAATCATTATTAGCCACAGCAGCCGCTCTCTCTTACTGCCATTCAGTCGGAATCCATCACGGTCAACTTCGTCCTGACTGCATCACAAAGGTTAAAGACTTCGTCCATTTGTCATTAGTCGGTGTTTCAGAATCATTTGGTCACAAAGTCACAGATTACGATGATGTTTATTCGTTTGGCCAATTAGGCTTACAGTTATACAAGGACTGTTCACCAGAAGTCAAATCTCTCTTCGAAGAATGCATTAAAAACAAGTCTATGACTATGAAAACAGTATTCGATCGTTTATCAGTTTCACAGATTTCAGATGACTACTGCCACATGCTTTCACAGTTTGAGAGCAGACGACAACGTGCTATCTCTGGTGACCGATTTGCTATTGAAGATATCAAGACACACATGAAATTGACATCCAATGGAGATGTTCCTCTTCTTCCAGAAATCAAAGAAAGCGGTATCGATGTCTGTCCTCCTCTTTACATTGCAGCCATGAACAACAACGTCCGTGACATCAAGAGACTTATCAAAAGTGGTGCAAATCCAAACGCAACAGCAGTCGATGGCTCAACAGCACTTCATGCAGCAGTCTTGAGAGGAAACATCGAATCAATCCGAGTTCTTCGAAATTATTGTGATCGTTCATCGAAAGACATCCTGGGAAGAAGTCCACACGATGTTGCTGGTCCAAACGAAAAACGTGCACTTCTTAAACAAATTGACGGCATGACAGGCCTCCTTCTTCGCAGTTTGGTTTGTCTTCTCAGCAAACCATTTTAATAAATAATCAGTTATTTTATTAAATTTAATTAATTTAATCTCTTTGATTATATTTTTATAGAATTGAAGTGATTTATTAATATTTTTTAATACCTATGATAGAAAAGTTATTATAAATCATTATCTAGTACCTCATATGGCTGCTATACTTTTTGTTATTAAATATAGATATGTTGACGTTATGTAAGTATATCAGAAAGTGGTGAGTGCAATCTTTTACACAATAATTGAGAAGATTGATAAGCAGAAATTTAGAATCCTTTGAGAGATCTTAATGTGTTTCAGAATAGCGTCAATACATTTCATATGTATGAAATAACTCTGTAATATGAAATAAAATATATTGAAAATTTGAGAACTACTATGTGGTCGGCCAAATCCCAAAGATCCGAAATCGAAATCGACTGATTTCCTAATCACAAACTAATCAAAATTAACATTCATAGAAGAAAATTTGAGATGAAACATTTGTTAAAAGCATATATTCAAACGAAAAAAATAATAATCAATTCCATTTGCAATTTCAACAAAGTTTTTTCGATTATTACAATACAACTGATTATGTTAATAAAACAGAGAACGAAACTATATCAGGGAATGGCAATTATTACATTCATGATGCAGTATTTTCTTACCATTATCAAAAAACAGCCATTTCCCTTAATTCTAGCAGCAAAGTATTACTTGAAATGTGCGCATTTTACAACAATAATTCCACCGAAAAAGGTGGATCGATATTTATCAAGGAATCTAATTGTGTTTTAGTTCACATTTGTTTTTCTAATTCATCTTCCAATGAAGATGGATGTGCATATTATATAGAGGATTCTTCTCTAAGGAATCCCAAAAAAGTTATGCAATTGAGTGCTCAGTATCAAAATGCAGCGGGAAACAAAGTGCGTTTGTTTATTGGGAAGGAGATATCCAAATAAGTAATATGAATACATCTTATAACATAATTACTACAAATGCTGCATATTCTATTTCAAGTATAACCAATACAATTATTTTAAATTTCACAACAGTATCAAATTGTTCATCTTCAGAAATTGGTGTTGTTAATGTCGGGCCTATGACACGGAATGTTACAAATTGTAATTATTTAAACAACGAGTTTTCAGGAGGTGAATCAGTAGATTCATCATCATCATCAGTAATTTTATGTTCGAATTCATGTACATTTTCAAATTGTTCATTTGTAAGAAATAAAGGAAACTATTTATTTTATGACAAACCAACTTTGCTTAATTGTTTCTTTCATGAAAACACGCTCATACGAACTGTTCAACGTGATGATATATTTAATACATTTGGTGTTGAATCAATTGAACCATTAGATTCATTTATATCTCATTATGCAGTTGAAGGATGTCCAGGTGCATATTATCACAATAACGATATATCAGATAAAAAAATGAAAAGAGAGAAAATAAAAATGAGAAATAAAATTGCCATTAATGTATATAGAACATCAATCAGTGAAGTCCTAAATTTATCCTCTATTTTATAGTTTATAACACCTATAGATGTTCAGTACTACTTTGCAGGGATATTGAATTTATATATCAAAGTAATCTGAATACACTTTATCATGCAACAGGAAAGCAATACTGGGATTAAACACCTTCATGATGTCTGATATGTTTCTCAGTATCGTGTGTATTGAACAAACGTAATATATTTGACCTAAATAATGATCATAAAATTTTTGAGAGTTATAAGTGGTCAGCCAAATATACCTTTGATCCAAAATAGAAATCAGATTCCCTGTCAAAAAGCAAATTAAAATTAACGGTTAATATAGAAAGAGACCCAACATGAAAGAATTAATAAAAATGCATTTTCAAACAAAGAGAAGGAGACGCATATCCATTTGCAATTTCAACATAGTTTTTCAGATTATTTCGATTCCACCGATTATATTAATAAAACAGAAAATGAAACTATACGAGAAGATGGCAATTTATACATTCATCGTACAGTATTTTCTAACCATTATCAAAGCTCAGCAATCGGCATTGGTTCTGGATATCAAGTATTAATTGAATCATGCACATTTCATAACAATAGTTCTACACAAGAAGGTGGGTCAATCCATATCGAAATATCTAGTAGTGTTTTAGTACATATCTGTTGTTTTGATTCATCGTCAATTAAATGGGGATGTGCATATTTCATCATGAATGATAGAGGCAAAAGTTATGCTTTTGGATGCTCAGTATCACAATGCGGTGGAGCATCTGCTGCATTATTTCACTTATTTGGATATATCCAAGTAAGTAATCTGAATACATCTAATCATAAAAAATTATTTCATATGCCGCATTTTATTTATCATCTCCTTTGGAATTTGCAAAATTTAAATTCACGACAGCATCAAATACAACTTCTTCAGAAAGTGGTGGAATGTATATTGTTAATGGCCCATTTGAACATACAAAATGCAACTATTTAAATAACTGGCTTGAAATAATGCAATAATTTATAATGATAATAGAAATTTTTTTGAAAAATGTTCCTTCATAGGTAATAAAGGAAACTATTTATTGCGTGAAGTACCAGAAATTATTAAAAATTGTTACTTTAATGAAAACAATGTCAGTCAACCTGCAAATTATGAATATATATCATTTACATTTGAATCAAATGATCCATTAGATTTATTTATATCTCATTATTCAACCTTTTATTGTCCAGCTTCAAATTTTTCATATCAAGATAAATTGGACAAAATCAATAAATCAAATAAAAAAATTAAAAAGATCAAATTACAAATCCAACCCTATGCTATTGCTACATACAGACAGGATAAGTAGCTAATAAGGAGTAAAATTATACAAATAGATTGCTTATATATCCATCTTATATTATAAATGGAAAAATATCAAAATTCATAATAAATGAAGATATAGAAATATGAAAAATAGATATATGTATTTACTATATTATAGAATAAAATAATAAGTATTATTGCATTACAAATGTAATGCAATCTTTACAAATTATAGCCGCATTAGCCCGTAATTTAACAAAATTTCTATTACATTTCTTTATAAATTCATATTTTATTTGTTATGAATTATAAAATCGTATATACATGTATAATTGAAAAAATCAGCCCCTCACTGGTAGGTGAAAAATTAATACCCATCAATTCGAATTTTTTCATGAATTTGTAATACCCAAAACAATTTGAAGTGATTGGTATTCCAATATACTCTGAACATTTTTATGAGCTGTGCTCAGAAAAAGTTCCGAATATATTTTTAATTTCTGTAATAAGGATAAATCAGATCAAACTTTTAATGTTAATTTTCAATGACATTTCAAGCCAGTTATCATGAATTCGAATAAAATTTAATCGAAGTTTGTATACCATCATTTAGTGATATCCTAAGCTTATCTTTTATTTTGAGGATGAAAATTGAAATTTGACACTTTCTAAAATGCTAAGAAATCCACTAACTAAACTTTTTATTAATATAGATTATATAACAAAAAAAAAATTTTAGATGTTTAATGAAGCCATTTCGTCAGATTCGCGTGTTTCATTGTTAGAATTATTTGAGTGTGCTTCATCAATAAGTTTAGTGAAAACATTCTCAATAGTTGAAGATGTGCATGTGTAATACTTCAAAACGTGTTCTTCGTTCTTCAAAACATTCAACTTTGTGAATAAATCTGCAATACTGATATCATTCGAAGGAACTGTGTAAATGATAGAGCTGTGATGTTTAATGAGTTGTTTAGCTGTTTTGATGTTATTATTGATGTATTCTTCAACAATATTGATTGTTGTTGAATCTCCATTTGTCAAGATCAAATCAAACTTCCACTCTTTACCGAATTTGTTAGACAAATATGTTGGTGATCCAATACAACTGATTATGTTAATAAAACAGAGAACGAAACTATATCAGGGAATGGCAATTATTACATTCATGATGCAGTATTTTCTTACCATTATCAAAAAACAGCCATTTCCCTTAATTCTAGCAGCAAAGTATTACTTGAAATGTGCGCATTTTACAATAATAATTCCACCGAAAAAGGTGGATCGATATTTATCAAGGAATCTAATTGTGTTTTAGTTCACATTTGTTTTTCTAATTCATCTTCCAATGAAGATGGATGTGCATATTATATAGAGGATTCTTCTCTAAGGAATCCCAAAAAAAGCTATGCATTTGAGTGCTCGGTTTCAAAATGCATTGGGAAACAATATGCATTTGTTCATTCACTCGGAGATATCCAAATAAGTAATATGAATACATCTTATAACATAATAACTACATGTGCTGGATGTTCTTTTCAAAGTTTATCCAATAGCATTTTAAATTTCACAACAGTATCAAATTGTTCATCTTCAGAATTCTGTATTGTTATGGTCGGGTCTTTGACAAATAATGTTACAAACTGCAATTATTTAAACAATGAGTTTTCAGGAGATGAATCAGTAGATTCATCATCATCAGTAATTTCATGTCCTTTTTCATGTCCATTTTCAAATTGTTCATTCATGGGAAATAAAGGAAACTATTTATTTCCAGACAGACCAACTATTTTAAATTGTTTCTTTCATGAAAACACGCTCATACGAACTGTGCAATTTGACCCATATAATTCATTTCGTGCGGAATCAATTGAATCATTTGATTCATTTATATCACATTATGCAGTTGAAGGATGTCCAGGTGCATATTATCACAATAAAGATATATCAGATAAAAAAATTAAAAAAGAGAAAATAAAAATAAGAAATAAACTTGTCATTAATGTATATAGAGCATCATTCGGTGTAGCTCTATATTTATCCTCTATTTTATAGTTTATATATTAATAAAATGTTAGGGGTTCAAAGAGCTAATGATGTTAAATCATACAGAATCATTCTTGAAACGCTTTTCAAAGGTCGAAAATACACATTCGAGAATGATCTTGCACAGAAGATCAAAGATGAAAAAGAAATAACTTACAAGTTGAATGATTTAAAAATTTTGAATAATTTTTGTCATGTTCATGAAGCCTTAAGCATGAATTTAATTCTCAAAATATTTTGAGTATTTAATTGGCCGGCCAAATCCCTTAGATCCGAAATCTATACTGAATGATTTCCTAATCACAAACTAATAAATATTAACAGAAATAGAAGAAAATCCAGTATGAAAAAATTATTCAAAATGAATATTCAAGCGAACAAAATAAGAATCAAATCCATCTACACTCTCATAATTTCACAACATCATTTAATACATCATCTTCAGAACAATCTACAATCAGTAATGATGGTAAATTTAATATTACAAAATATAATTTTATAAATAACGAATATGAAGGAAGTGAAAATGCATTAATTAATGTCAGAGTACATGTATATATTTAAATTGTTCATTCATAGAAAATACAGGCAATTATTTTCAACAGGACCAACTATGGATAATTGTTACATTAGTAAAAACAAAGTCGATAACATTGTAAGAGATGAAATATTATCTATTAAAAAGCCTCCATCATTTGATTCTTTTATATCTCATTATTCTACAGATAATTGTCATGCTTTTTATTTTTATAATAAAGATATTTCAGATAAAGTACCAAAGAAAGTTAACATAAAAATTAAAATTGCTATCAATGTTTATAGAACATCATTTAGTGAAGTCCTAAACTTATAATCTATATTGTGATTACAAAAAGGGCTTTTTTTATTTATAAAATGTCAAAAAAATGAAATCTGACACTTTACAATTACTAAACTTTTTATTAATTAATATTGAGGATGTTTTATTGTCGTCTGGAAAAAGTGACAAAATTATTATTGTCGTCTAAAAAGGTGACAAATTATTATTGTCGTCTGGAAAAGTGACAAAATTATCATTGTCGTCTAAAAAATAGATTTTTCAAGCATGTTTCGGTACCTAAATAAAGGAAGAACATCAATTCCATCTATGTATATAGTATGCAAACACGCATGATATATGGAGTAGCTCTTTATCTGGCTAAAAATCCTATTATTTGAAAATTCGCATTGTCGTCTAAAACAGCCAGACGACAATAATAATACCCTATTAATATAGATTATATAACAAAAAAAAATTTTAGATGTTTAATGAAGCCATTTCGTCAGATTCGCGTGTTTCATTGTTAGAATTATTTGAGTGTGCTTCATCAATAAGTTTAGTGAAAACATTCTCAATAGTTGAAGATGTGCATGTGTAATACTTCAAAACGTGTTCTTCATTCTTCAAAACATTCAACTTTGTGAATAAATCTGCAATACTGATATCATTCGAAGGAACTGTGTAAATGATAGAGCTGTGATGTTTAATGAGTTGTTTAGCTGTTTTGATGTTATTATTGATGTATTCTTCAACAATATTGATTGTTGTTGAATCTCCATTTGTCAAGATCAAATCAAACTTCCACTCTTTACCGAATTTGTTAGACAAATATGTTGGTGATCCAATAGTGTGGATACAGCCATCAATCATGATTGTGATCTCATCACAAAGACTCTCTGCTTCTTCAATGATATGTGTGCACAAGATAAATGTTTTCGATCCTTTGTACATGTTGATAAGATGATGAACTTTTCGACGACTGATTGGATCGAGAACTGATGTAGGTTCATCCAAAACAATGATTTTTGATTCTAACATGAACGCGATTGCAACTGATAATTTCTGTTTCAAACCTGCTGATAACTCACTAACAACACGGTTCTTGTGTCTTGTCATGTCCAAACTGTTCAATAAAAGATCAATGACACGTTCGCGTTCACTGTTTCGAATACAAAAGAAATGACAGAAGAATTTCATTGTTTGAATAATTGTCAATTCTTCTGCCAAATGTGTGACGAACTGTGGACAATATCCAATCATTTCATCACCGGAGATATCAATCGATCCACTCATCAAAGGTATTTGGTTGAGAAGGATATTCATCAATGTTGTTTTTCCTGCACCATTTGAACCCAACAAACCAAACAAGCAACCAATATTAATAGAAAAAGAAGAAAACACGGATGAAATAATGTTTAAAACTGCAAGTTTTATGGAAGAAAATAGGAAACTAATAAATTTTCAACTTCAACAATGATTATAATAATAAAACGAAAAACGTGTACTTATGAAATAAATTGATGACATCACATCTGCTGATCGATCCAGGCTTGAAAGACACGCTTTAAATCATCATGAGAAAATTGCTCAAATTGCTCTCTTACAAAATTTTCAAGATCATCTGGACTCGCGAATTCGCGTCCTTCAGCTCTCTTTTTTAGCGTGCCGAATAAATAAAAGTCAGAGGGTGCAATATCAGGTGAATAAATTGGGTTTGGAACAACTTTGACATTGTTTTCCACCAAGTAATTCATTACCTTATGACTTTTGTGAACTGTTGAATTATCAAAATGAATTGCAAACTTTTGTTTTTGTTGTTTGGATTTCTCAAACTCATCAGAATTGATAATTTGAGTAAGAACATTGTCAATTAGATACTGAGCATTCATCGTATTAGGTTTTTGAAGAATATCAATTGCGATGATGCCATTCACGCCCCAAAAAACCGACAACATCATCATTGGTGTGTCAATTTTTTTCTTCGGGAATGTTTGCGGATTTTCATCCTTCGGGATCCACATGATTTTGGCTTCTGTTGCATATTGAAACCAAGACTCGTCCCCTGTTACTAAAAAGCGAAACTTCTTGGATTGATACGCACCCAATATAGAGAGGAGCTCTTTCGAAGATTGGACTCTAGATTTTTTTTGAACTGAATTAAGGTTGTGCGGAACCCAACGTGTATACGCTAGTTTGTAGTTCAAATAATTGTGCAGATAATAACTGACTGTTGTACGTGGTATCGTTGTCATCTCCTCTATCCTTCTGAGTGATGCTCTTGGGTCTTCATCTAGCGCTTGAAGAATTGCTTTGATTTTTCTTTGATCCGGCGATCTTTTGTCAATTTTTATGATGGGCGCCTTTTTGTTCATGAAGTGATACATCCTAACATGATACGTTACAGTGGAATAGCTAGGAGCATCCATACCGAAGCATTTTACCAATGTCTCGTAGATTTTTTTACAGTCTTTGCATTTTTTTGCAAGAGCAAGGATGTTTTCTTTATGATTCATTAAAAAAATGAAAAAAATCCCGCCAAAATTTCCCGCGAAACCGCCTCTTGTCTCAAAATTCATTTTATATCCCGGCATGGCGCCAAAATACAACATACTCATCATATACATATATTCATATTTTTTATTATATATTTATAATCAGCATATATCTCCTTTAATAGTCTCATATAGAGCGCTGTGCTAAACGCACCTTTGGACACCCTATATATGTCAGCCAAATCCCAAAGATCCGAAATCGAAATCGACTGATTCAATAATAACAAGGTGATCAAAATTAACATTCAAAGGAAATTCGAGATGAAACATTTATTAAAAGCATATATTCAAGAGAACAAAATAATCCTCAATTCCATTTGCAATTTCAACAAAGTTTTTCTGATTATTACAATACAACTGATTATGTTAATAAAACAGAGAACGAAACTATATCAGGGAATGGCAATTATTACATTCATGATGCAGTATTTTCTTACCATTATCAAAAAACAGCCATTTCCCTTAATTCTAGCAGCAAAGTATTACTTGAAATGTGCGCATTTTACAACAATAATTCCACCGAAAAAGGTGGATCGATAAATATCCAATATTCTGATTGTGTTTTAGTTCACATTTGTTTTTCTAATTCATCATCCACTGAAGATGGATGTGCATCTTATATAGAGGATTCTTCTCTAAGGAATCCCAAAAAAAGCTATGCATTTGAGTGCTCGGTTTCAAAATGCATCGGGAAACAATATGCATTTGTTCATTCACTCGGAGATATCCAAATAAGTAATATGAATACATCTTATAACATAATAACTACATGTGCTGGATGTTCTTTTCAAAGTTTATCCAATAGCATTTTAAATTTCACAACAGTATCAAATTGTTCATCTTCAGAATTCTGTATTGTTATGGTCGGGTCTTTGACAAATAATGTTACAAACTGCAATTATTTAAACAATGAGTTTTCAGGAGATGAATCAGTAGATTCATCATCATCAGTAATTTCATGTCCTTTTTCATGTCCATTTTCAAATTGTTCATTCATGGGAAATAAAGGAAACTATTTATTTCCAGACAGACCAACTATTTTAAATTGTTTCTTTCATGAAAACACGCTCATACGAACTGTGCAATTTGACCCATATAATTCATTTCGTGCGGAATCAATTGAATCATTTGATTCATTTATATCACATTATGCAGTTGAAGGATGTCCAGGTGCATATTATCACAATAAAGATATATCAGATAAAAAAATTAAAAAAGAGAAAATAAAAATAAGAAATAAACTTGTCATTAATGTATATAGAGCATCATTCGGTGTAGCTCTATATTTATCCTCTATTTTATAGTTTATATATTAATAAAATGTTAGGGGTTCAAAGAGCTAATGATGTTAAATCATACAGAATCATTCTTGAAACGCTTTTCAAAGGTCGAAAATACACATTCGAGAATGATCTTGCACAGAAGATCAAAGATGAAAAAGAAATAACTTACAAGTTGAATGATTTAAAAATTTTGAATAATTTTTGTCATGTTCATGAAGCCTTAAGCATGAATTTAATTCTCAAAATATTTTGAGTATTTAATTGGCCGGCCAAATCCCTTAGATCCGAAATCTATACTGAATGATTTCCTAATCACAAACTAATAAATATTAACAGAAATAGAAGAAAATCCAGTATGAAAAAATTATTCAAAATGAATATTCAAGCGAACAAAATAAGAATCAAATCCATCTACACTCTCATAATTTCACAACATCATTTAATACATCATCTTCAGAACAATCTACAATCAGTAATGATGGTAAATTTAATATTACAAAATATAATTTTATAAATAACGAATATGAAGGAAGTGAAAATGCATTAATTAATGTCAGAGTACATGTATATATTTAAATTGTTCATTCATAGAAAATACAGGCAATTATTTTCAACAGGACCAACTATGGATAATTGTTACATTAGTAAAAACAAAGTCGATAACATTGTAAGAGATGAAATATTATCTATTAAAAAGCCTCCATCATTTGATTCTTTTATATCTCATTATTCTACAGATAATTGTCATGCTTTTTATTTTTATAATAAAGATATTTCAGATAAAGTACCAAAGAAAGTTAACATAAAAATTAAAATTGCTATCAATGTTTATAGAACATCATTTAGTGAAGTCCTAAACTTATAATCTATATTGTGATTACAAAAAGGGCTTTTTTTATTTATAAAATGTCAAAAAAATGAAATCTGACACTTTACAATTACTAAACTTTTTATTAATTAATATTGAGGATGTTTTATTGTCGTCTGGAAAAAGTGACAAAATTATTATTGTCGTCTAAAAAGGTGACAAATTATTATTGTCGTCTGGAAAAGTGACAAAATTATCATTGTCGTCTAAAAAATAGATTTTTCAAGCATGTTTCGGTACCTAAATAAAGGAAGAACATCAATTCCATCTATGTATATAGTATGCAAACACGCATGATATATGGAGTAGCTCTTTATCTGGCTAAAAATCCTATTATTTGAAAATTCGCATTGTCGTCTAAAACAGCCAGACGACAATAATAATACCCTATTAATATAGATTATATAACAAAAAAAAATTTTAGATGTTTAATGAAGCCATTTCGTCAGATTCGCGTGTTTCATTGTTAGAATTATTTGAGTGTGCTTCATCAATAAGTTTAGTGAAAACATTCTCAATAGTTGAAGATGTGCATGTGTAATACTTCAAAACGTGTTCTTCATTCTTCAAAACATTCAACTTTGTGAATAAATCTGCAATACTGATATCATTCGAAGGAACTGTGTAAATGATAGAGCTGTGATGTTTAATGAGTTGTTTAGCTGTTTTGATGTTATTATTGATGTATTCTTCAACAATATTGATTGTTGTTGAATCTCCATTTGTCAAGATCAAATCAAACTTCCACTCTTTACCGAATTTGTTAGACAAATATGTTGGTGATCCAATAGTGTGGATACAGCCATCAATCATGATTGTGATCTCATCACAAAGACTCTCTGCTTCTTCAATGATATGTGTGCACAAGATAAATGTTTTCGATCCTTTGTACATGTTGATAAGATGATGAACTTTTCGACGACTGATTGGATCGAGAACTGATGTAGGTTCATCCAAAACAATGATTTTTGATTCTAACATGAACGCGATTGCAACTGATAATTTCTGTTTCAAACCTGCTGATAACTCACTAACAACACGGTTCTTGTGTCTTGTCATGTCCAAACTGTTCAATAAAAGATCAATGACACGTTCGCGTTCACTGTTTCGAATACAAAAGAAATGACAGAAGAATTTCATTGTTTGAATAATTGTCAATTCTTCTGCCAAATGTGTGACGAACTGTGGACAATATCCAATCATTTCATCACCGGAGATATCAATCGATCCACTCATCAAAGGTATTTGGTTGAGAAGGATATTCATCAATGTTGTTTTTCCTGCACCATTTGAACCCAACAAACCAAACAAGCAACCAATATTAATAGAAAAAGAAGAAAACACGGATGAAATAATGTTTAAAACTGCAAGTTTTATGGAAGAAAATAGGAAACTAATAAATTTTCAACTTCAACAATGATTATAATAATAAAACGAAAAACGTGTACTTATGAAATAAATTGATGACATCACATCTGCTGATCGATCCAGGCTTGAAAGACACGCTTTAAATCATCATGAGAAAATTGCTCAAATTGCTCTCTTACAAAATTTTCAAGATCATCTGGACTCGCGAATTCGCGTCCTTCAGCTCTCTTTTTTAGCGTGCCGAATAAATAAAAGTCAGAGGGTGCAATATCAGGTGAATAAATTGGGTTTGGAACAACTTTGACATTGTTTTCCAACAAGTAATTCATTACCTTATGACTTTTGTGAACTGTTGAATTATCAAAATGAATTGCAAACTTTTGTTTTTGTTGTTTGGATTTCTCAAACTCATCAGAATTGATAATTTGAGTAAGAACATTGTCAATTAGATACTGAGCATTCATCGTATTAGGTTTTTGAAGAATATCAATTGCGATGATGCCATTCACGCCCCAAAAAACCGACAACATCATCATTGGTGTGTCAATTTTTTTCTTCGGGAATGTTTGCGGATTTTCATCCTTCGGGATCCACATGATTTTGGCTTCTGTTGCATATTGAAACCAAGACTCGTCCCCTGTTACTAAAAAGCGAAACTTCTTGGATTGATACGCACCCAATATAGAGAGGAGCTCTTTCGAAGATTGGACTCTAGATTTTTTTGAACTGAATTAAGGTTGTGCGGAACCCAACGTGTATACGCTAGTTTGTAGTTCAAATAATTGTGCAGATAATAACTGACTGTTGTACGTGGTATCGTTGTCATCTCCTCTATCCTTCTGAGTGATGCTCTTGGGTCTTCATCTAGCGCTTGAAGAATTGCTTTGATTTTTCTTTGATCCGGCGATCTTTGTCAATTTTTATGATGGGCCTTTTTGTTCATGAAGTGATACATCCTAACATGATACATTACAGTGGAATAGCTAGGAGCATCCATACCGAAGCATTTTACCAATGTCTCGTAGATTTTTTTACAGTCTTTGCATTTTTTTGCAAGAGCGAGGATGTTTTCTTTATGATTCATTAAAAAAATGAAAAAAATCCCGCCAAAATTTTCCGCGAAACCGCCTCTTGTCTCAAAATTCATTTTATATCCCGGCATGGCGCCAAAATACAACATACTCATCATATACATATATTCATATTTTATTATTATATAATCAGCATATATCTCCTTTAATAGTCTCATATAGAGCGCTGTGCTAAACGCACCTTTGGACACCCTATATATGTCAGCCAAATCCCAAAGATCCGAAATCGAAATCGACTGATTCAATAATAACAAGGTGATCAAAATTAACATTCAAAGGAAATTCGAGATGAAACATTTATTAAAAGCATATATTCAAGAGAACAAAATAATCCTCAATTCCATTTGCAATTTCAACAAAGTTTTTCTGATTATTACAATACAACTGATTATGTTAATAAAACAGAGAACGAAACTATATCAGGGAATGGCAATTATTACATTCATGATGCAGTATTTTCTTACCATTATCAAAAAACAGCCATTTCCCTTAATTCTAGCAGCAAAGTATTACTTGAAATGTGCGCATTTTACAACAATAATTCCACCGAAAAAGGTGGATCGATAAATATCCAATATTCTGATTGTGTTTTAGTTCACATTTGTTTTTCTAATTCATCATCCACTGAAGATGGATGTGCATCTTATATAGAGGATTCTTCTCTAAGGAATCCCAAAAAAGCTATGCATTTGAGTGCTCGGTTTCAAAATGCATCGGGAAACAATATGCATTTGTTCATTCACTCGGAGATATCCAAATAAGTAATATGAATACATCTTATAACATAATAACTACATGTGCTGGATGTTCTTTTCAAAGTTTATCCAATAGCATTTTAAATTTCACAACAGTATCAAATTGTTCATCTTCAGAATTCTGTATTGTTATGGTCGGGTCTTTGACAAATAATGTTACAAACTGCAATTATTTAAACAATGAGTTTTCAGGAGATGAATCAGTAGATTCATCATCATCAGTAATTTCATGTCCTTTTTCATGTCCATTTTCAAATTGTTCATTCATGGGAAATAAAGGAAACTATTTATTTCCAGACAGACCAACTATTTTAAATTGTTTCCTTCATGAAAACACGCTCATACGAACTGTGCAATTTGACCCATATAATTCATTTCGTGCGGAATCAATTGAATCATTTGATTCATTTATATCATTATGCAGTTGAAGGATGTCCAGGTGCATATTATCACAATAAAGATATATCAGATAAAAAAATTAAAAAAGAGAAAATAAAAATAAGAAATAAACTTGTCATTAATGTATATAGAGCATCATTCGGTGTAGCTCTATATTTATCCTCTATTTTATAGTTTATATATTAATAAAATGTTAGGGGTTCAAAGAGCTAATGATGTTAAATCATACAGAATCATTCTTGAAACGCTTTTCAAAGGTCGAAAATACACATTCGAGAATGATCTTGCACAGAAGATCAAAGATGAAAAAGAAATAACTTACAAGTTGAATGATTTAAAAATTTTGAATAATTTTTGTCATGTTCATGAAGCCTTAAGCATGAATTTAATTCTCAAAATATTTTGAGTATTTAATTGGCCGGCCAAATCCCTTAGATCCGAAATCTATACTGAATGATTTCCTAATCACAAACTAATAAATATTAACAGAAATAGAAGAAAATCCAGTATGAAAAAAATATTCAAAATGAATATTCAAGCGAACAAAATAAGAATCAAATCCATCTACACTCTCATAATTTCACAACATCATTTAATACATCATCTTCAGAACAATCTACAATCAGTAATGATGGTAAATTTAATATTACAAAATATAATTTTATAAATAACGAATATGAAGGAAGTGAAAATGCATTAATTAATGTCAGAGTACATGTATATATTTAAATTGTTCATTCATAGAAAATACAGGCAATTATTTTCAACAGGACCAACTATGGATAATTGTTACATTAGTAAAAACAAAGTCGATAACATTGTAAGAGATGAAATATTATCTATTAAAAAGCCTCCGTCATTTGATTCTTTTATATCTCATTATTCTACAGATAATTGTCATGCTTTTTATTTTTATAATAAAGATATTTCAGATAAAGTACCAAAGAAAGTTAACATAAAAATTAAAATTAAAATTGCTATCAATGTTTATAGAACATCATTTAGTGAAGTCCTAAACTTATAATCTATATTGTGATTACAAAAAGGGCTTTTTTTATTTATAAAATGTCAAAAAAATGAAATCTGACACTTTACAATTACTAAACTTTTTATTAATTAATATTGAGGATGTTTTATTGTCGTCTGGAAAAAGTGACAAAATTATTATTGTCGTCTAAAAAGGTGACAAATTATTATTGTCGTCTGGAAAAGTGACAAAATTATCATTGTCGTCTAAAAAATAGATTTTTCAAGCATGTTTCGGTACCTAAATAAAGGAAGTGTTGTAAACGAAAACGATAAAAACGGTTTGTCAGAAAAAGTGACACTTTACATGGCAAAAAATAGAGCCTTACTTTTGAGATACTTGAGATTGAAACTGAATCTTATGAGGCGGTGATCTTGAATCACTACCTCATAAGGTTCAGTTTCATATAAAATTTGTTGCAATTTGTTATTCTTTTGCAATTATTTCTTATAAGATTTTACATCTTTTAGCGGGGAATGTTTGTTATCATGTATTATTATAAATATCTACACGATAACGAACATTCCTCGCTAAATTGCTGAGAAACTTTGAGGAAATGTCGAACAATTTCCTCAAAGTTTCTCAGATTTATATAGATCACTAGAGTCCCCTAGGCACTGATTCTGGTTCAGTACCTAGGAGCTCTAGTTCTCTAACGAACTGATAAAATGTTTTTAAATTTTTGGATATTGCTACCTGTGAAGCACTGACTTCAAGTCAGTACCTCACAGGTAGCAATTACATTGAAAGATGGAGAAACTTTGTCCGAATGTTAAACTATTCGGACAAAGTTTCTCCCATTTGTAGTGGAGATGGAAGGCTTTGAGGTATATTATATTAATGTATACCCCAAAGCCTTCCATCTCCACTTGAAAGTTCCAAAACTTTGGGTTAATTGCAAACTATTAACCCAAAGTTTTGGAACTTTCTAGAAGGAATTGCAGGGTAAGAGGTACATATTCATACTATGTACCTCTTACCCTCCAATTCCTTCCTTAACATAAACAAATTTGGAGTTAATTGTTTGCAATTAACTCCGGGTTTGTTGACCTCCAAATGAAAATGAAAGGGTAAGAGGTATATAGTGACCCTATATGCCTCTTACCCTTTCATTCTCATTAATTATGGGAGAAACTTTGGCCGAATGTTAAATTATTCGACCAAAGTTTTCCCATTTTTTGAAGGGATTGGAGGCTATGAGATACTGATGCAATGTCAGTACCTCATGGCCTCCAATTCCATCCTGAAACTGATCAAAGTGGACCTTACATGCATTTGAAATTTGCCATGTAAAGTCCACTTTTTGAGAGAGAGGATTTGACTGCGTCAAATCCTCTTTTTCGTTTACGAGAGGAAGAACATCAATTCCATCTATGTATATAGTATGCAAACACGCATGATATATGGAGTAGTTCTTTATCTGGCTAAAAATCCTATTATTTGAAAATTCGCATTGTCGTCTAAAACCGCCAGACGACAATAATAATACCCTATTAATATTATATAACAAAAAAAATTTAGATGTTTAATGAAGCCATTTCGTCAGATTCGCGTGTTTCATTGTTAGAATTATTTGAGTGTGCTTCATCAATAAGTTTAGTGAAAACATTCTCAATAGTTGAAGATGTGCATGTGTAATACTTCAAAACGTGTTCTTCGTTCTTCAAAACATTCAACTTTGTGAATAAATCTGCAATACTGATATCATTCGAAGGAACTGTGTAAATGATAGAGCTGTGATGTTTAATGAGTTGTTTAGCTGTTTTGATGTTATTATTGATGTATTCTTCAACAATATTGATTGTTGTTGAATCTCCATTTGTCAAGATCAAATCAAACTTCCACTCTTTACCGAATTTGTTAGACAAATATGTTGGTGATCCAATAGTGTGGATACAGCCATCAATCATGATTGTGATCTCATCACAAAGACTCTCTGCTTCTTCAATGATATGTGTGCACAAGATAAATGTTTTCGATCCTTTGTACATGTTGATAAGATGATGAACTTTTCGACGACTGATTGGATCGAGAACTGATGTAGGTTCATCCAAAACAATGATTTTTGATTCTAACATGAACGCGATTGCAACTGATAATTTCTGTTTCAAACCTGCTGATAACTCACTAACAACACGGTTCTTGTGTCTTGTCATGTCCAAACTGTTCAATAAAAGATCAATGACACGTTCGCGTTCACTGTTTCGAATACAAAAGAAATGACAGAAGAATTTCATTGTTTGAATAATTGTCAATTCTTCTGCCAAATGTGTGACGAACTGTGGACAATATCCAATCATTTCATCACTGGAGATATCAATCGATCCACTCATCAAAGGTATTTGGTTCAGAAGGATATTCATCAATGTTGTTTTTCCTGCACCATTTGAACCCAACAAACCAAACAAACAACCATCCTTGATGCCAAGTGATACATTGTTAACTGCATTGATGTTTTTGCGTTTTGTATCTTTGTAAACTTTACAAACATCAACTAATCTGATCTTGTAATCACCTGGATGTGAATTTCTCACTTCTTCTTCCATGGCGATTGCTTCTTCTGATATCTTTTGACTCTCCTTAACTTGTATCATGTTTTCACTGATACTTTGTGACAATTTAATACTCATTCTCTTAATTCTCTTGTTCATGAGCTCCATAGGTGCCAAAAGAACAAACCATAGCACAAAGCAAACAAATGTATACATGTATTGTTCCTTCCTTGTGTATCCGAAATAATATAAATGAGTTAATATGGCAGAAGGAGCTGAAAAAGGGTATAAACATGGTATATCGAAGTAGTCCTTAAACAATACACCTTGTTCGTTCATCAAAAGCATACTATAAACTACAGAAATTGATACTCCAGCTACAGCATAGCCAACAAAGGCCACAAACTTGGAAGAAACCATGTAGGCAAAGAAATATGATACTTCTACGTATAATGAATTGGCTATTATTATAGATAATAATGATAAATAAGGATGATCACAAAAAAGTTCGAATTTCATGAACATAAACATCGCCCATGCAATTATTACACATGGAGTAGTTGCAATAAGGTCAGCAATGTATGTTCCGGTCCAATAAGCCAGTAAATTTAATTGATATAACTCTAGATAAGTTCTTCTCATCGTATAAAGGTCGTCCATTGTGTAGAATAATGGGAAGATGCCAATAATGATTAAGCAGACAATTAAAATAACCAATTTATTTTGATTATAATCGGAATCTTCAGCACTGACTTTATGATAGAAAATATGGGTGTCCCAATAAGTACTGTTTGTCTCGTACATGTAGATAGCCTTCTGTAATATCAATGAAGCTGAAGATTTTGGATAAAATTTTTCTTGGTAAACTGAATCTTCATGCATATAAGCTTTCGGATATCCGGCTCCATTTTTAGAGAAATTGAACGCAAAGAAAAGAGGATGTTCGGGATTTTTATCATTATAGTTTAAAAAAGACTCATCATCGCTTAAATTTACTGAATTTGGTGTTATCCCTGTATCGTATTTAATAATATTTTTGACATTTTCTAAAATCTCTTTTGTATAATTTTGAATTTCGGGATCTTTTGTAAAAATAACGCCGAAGTTGATGGATTTTGTGTTCAATAGTTGAAACTGTGAATATCCGGTAACTGAATTATTGTGGCTCGTCAAAGCTAAGATAAGATCAATCAAATTTGAGAAAAAGACAAGAGCGATGGTCGAAGTAATTAAGTAAATTATATGGCGCCAATAAATTATTAATCTTCTGTATAAAATTGAGTAGGTAACTTCAAAAAACTTCCACATTTCTTGTAGCAAGGAAAAAATGATCCAAATTCCCAGAAAAATAAATATTTTATTTAAGTAAGGGTTTCGTTTTGCGAAAAAAACGTACAATACGCAATTTCGCTAAAAAACATTTAGCTAGCAATTTCGACCTTTGACTCCACTCAAGACGTCACTTTTTTAATTTTGCGGTATCATATTTTTGGAAAATCTTTATGAATATTATATAAAAAGTCTCTTTAATATCTATATTTCATATTTTTATCGATTTTTAAAGTTTTTGCGAAAAGTATTCAATTATTTTTGCTATTTGGTCGGGTAAATGTCAGATTTGTGACATTTTCTGATATGATATTCAGATTCTACGTTGATAATAATGCTTATAGAACCCTCTTGCTATTGTGTCAAAATTGCGAAACCGATAGCAAAAATATCTCGCAATATCAAAATTGAGATATTGAGTGAATTATGCATTATAGAGATTAAAAATCTGATTTGTGAAAACATCTCATCAGTTTCTAGCTAATTCAAAAATCTTTACTATCTTATTCGATTAAAATGAAAAGGGAATAGTTTCATTATGCTTTAAATGACAGCCTTATAATATAATCATAGTTTTCGCTCAATATGCAGTATTTTTTTTCGAAATCTATGGTCAATATCCTAAATACTGATTGCTTTGCATTCATATCTCTTACATTTTCTATACCCACATCACTATTCATTGCTATTCCTATCTTTTTCATTTTTGTTTGTTTCTCATAATTTCTCAAAAAACATGATAACTTGATATTTGTAAATATCATACTTTATAACGTAAATAAGAACTTGACCTATTAAGAAAAGCAGTAATGAAAAGAAAATCTGAAAATTCATAAAAATTACAAGTTTCTGATGACAATTAGCTTAATTAAACCAGGTACAAGATTATATAATTGTATTTTCTATCCAATTATCCATATAATATCTTATCCAGAAAAAATAACTTGATCAATACCAAATGATTTTTTAACTAGTAAATAAAGTATTTTCTTTACACACACATTGTATATCATAGTTTCTTTTTGGTTTCGCAAAACATCCAAAAACAAATATGCTATAAAAGTGACAATTTTAGCAAAACGAAACCCTTAATTTAAGTATTATGAATTGCATAAAGATTAATATTTCAACTCAATTTCGGACTTCTTTTTACAAAATTTATTGCCTTTTAATAAAGGTCATGCATTTGTATACAATTCCTAGTAACAATTTGATGTTGAGTCATAAAATCGGAAATTGTGTGTATTTGTGGTTGAAAAACTGATTTTTTATGTAATTGTAAAAAAATTAACAAAATTTAATAAATTGAGATTCAAAATGACGACTTATCGAATTTTTCGACGAAAATTAGAAAAGTTTCAATCACATTCACCGAAAAACTTCAAAAAGAAAAAAATATTAAATTCATATTCCTTAGTAAAGTCTCTTATTCAAATTTTTGAAAGAGTTTCACTCAATATTGCAGCAAACTCACGATTAGGAGACTTCACATAGCAAGGTGAGTTTATAAATTCAGTTCAAAACACGATGCTGATTAATTATTTGATTAATTTGCTCGAATATTTCATATAAACACTCAATAACAGCAATGAAAGTTATTAGAATATCAATCTTAGGAATGCATAATGAAAGAGAATATATTTTTGCTAGCATCATACTATTATTATTCCATTTTAGGAAAGAGATATTATGTAAAATTAAAAGAAATTTAGATTGACAGCCAATAATGAAAATGCTGAACAAACTAATAGTTCTGATACTTTTGCATAACAAATATGAGCGATAGCTCTTTTATATTTTTTATTTGATGCTGGTATAGTATCACCTGGGCAATAAAAAGTTGAATAATGAGAAATATATGAGTCTAATGGTTCATTATGATCGGTATTGAGTGTTTGATCATTACTCACAGGTTCTTCAACATCATTTTCACCAAAGTAGCAATTTTCAATAGTAGGTAAGATCGCAAACAAATATTTTCCAACATTTTCAATAAATGAACTGTTTAAAAATGTACATACACCATATGGATAAATTACAAATTGAGCACTCTCAGTACATTCATTTTTTATAAAATTACATTTTGTATTAATATAGTACCCAATGTATGTAACTCCGGACTGATCTGTAGATGAAGTATTGAATGCTGTTGTGAAATTCAAAATTCCTTTTCTTGATGGATATTGAGTTGCAAATGCGGCTGTATTTATAATTTTGTGATAAGAAGTATTCATATTACTTATCTGGACATCGCCGTAATTATGACAAAAAGGAGCTAAATATCCACTGCATTTTGATACTGAGCATTCAAATGCATAACTTTTTTGTTCACTCTCTTCAATCGTTACAATGGAATATGCACATCCATATTTATCAGTTGAATCAACTGATGATTTGGAAAAACAAATATGAACTAAAACGCATTCGGAATTATTGATATTGATTGATCCACCATTTTCTGTGGAACTATTGTTGTAAAATGTGCATGTATCAAATAATACTTTGCTATGAGAATGAATGTATACTGCTGTCTTTTGATAATGGCAGGTAAATACTGCATGATTAATGTAAAAATTACCATTTTCTGATATAGTTTCATTATGAGTCCTTTCATCAAAATCGACTGAATTATAGTAATTTGAGAAACTTTTTTGAAGTTTATGAAAAAATTGATTGATTTCTTTGTGCGAATATGCATTACTAAGTATCGATTCATGCTTATATAATTGAGGCTATAAATACATATCTTAATCACTCTTCCGAATGAGCAGAACTTCTAGAAAATGAAAATAATAAATGAAAAATAAATTTGACAAATAAAAAAAAAACGGTTACTTTTGAGATAACTTGTTTCTAGGTAATAAAATGACATGTTATGTAATCTGTGGTCAATAGGTGTACTAATTAAAATATGAATGTTATCTGAAAAAAAAAAGGTAGTGGGGCTTCCAGGCACTTCGTGCCCTCTAGCCCCGAAGATGTTTAGTATAAATGAAGTTTTTATTCGGAAAATTGTTAGTCTTCTGGTGTGAATTCGGAGGACTCTTCTTCTTCCTCCATTGCTTCTGGGAAGAAGCCTTCTTCTGGGTCGAAAACATTATATAATGTGTCGCTTTTCACAAATTATATATGTTTTCATGTTTTGTCACTTTTCTGTCACTTTTCGGGTAAAAACATTTTTATTATTATATATAAATGAATTTTACAAAACCACCGTTACCATTCTTTGGAAATAAGAGTAGATGTAAAGATATTATATTGAGAGAACTTAAGAAACTACCGAATGGTCTAACATTTGTAGATTGTTCGGTGGAAGTTTCTATATATCCCATTTGTGCATACAATATTCCCAGACTCAAAGATTATATGCAATGACTTCGACAACTATATGGACCGTCTCAAACATATTCCAGACACAAACAATATATTGAAAGAGTTAAAAGAAAAGATACCTATAGGTAAGATGGAACGTATACCATTAGATAACAAAAATATTGTGAGAGAGGAGTTAGTATACAAGTCTTGGGTATTGTGGCACTGCGTTCCACCTTACCCAATACTTGTGAATTTGACACTTTACAAAACCGTTAACGTATATTTTACAACATGAACGCAAAAACTAATTTAACCTTAAATATTTACAAAGCCGCCAACCACTTCACTAACGAACTCACTAATGTAAAAAATAAACGTTCTCACTATCGTTCTCACTAACAACTTCACTAATGTTCTCATAAATTTTTCCTAATATCTTCATCATCAGTGTTAACCCTATTGTAGTCATACTTGAAGCCATAAACTTTCTCTAACTTCTTAACGTACAATTTACATAACTTACCTTCGTCATCGTATGGTTTAATGATATAACTATTTCATCTTTATACACAGTCAATGAAAAGTCAACTGGTCTCGGATGTATTTGAAAGAACATGTTATGCTCAGGAAGGAAGAATAAATGTTTAAATGTATGTTGTTATACTGTGGAATTCGAATGAGTTGCTTTTGTCTGTGTCATTTACATCCAAATAAAAATTTTCAGTAAAAATAAAAAATAAACTTAAAATTAATGATATCACCACCCTCACACGTATGAAAACATAGCACAAAAATAATGTTTATGTTAGAATGTTAGATCTAACACGTTTTCTAACCTCATTTCTAACCTGTTGAATTCATTGCTTTATAACTCTCTTCCTTGGTTTCTTCTTTTAGTTGCTTTCTTCACGTCTGTCTCCAACTTGACTGTCTTTCTTCTTCGTCCGTAATGATACAGTTACTTCCACCAGTCAATGGGTCAAATGGTCTTTCGTAAGGATTTCCATACATTCCATAGGGACCATACGGAAGAACTACTGGTGGAGAAGAAACATTTTCTTAGTTCCATCGAATCTATTTAAATGCATTGTTTCACCTTTCATCTGGTCATTAAAGTCTTTTGCGTGTTTTGCAAACTCATCGTCCTTTCCTAAAGCATTTTCTGACTCAGTCGCAACCAAATTGGATGCTTTATTTATGAGCCCTATTTTATTTAATCTTAACTTCTTTGCAACCCAGCCTCCAATCTTCCCTTTATTTGCATCTAATGTCTTCGAAACCCTTCCTCCACTCATTTTATTTACTGCGTCATAAGCCCCAGGTGCTTTTGCTCCAAATGCTAATGCTTTTGTTCCCATTGCGCCTAAAGCTGTCCAAGCTACCATTTACACCATATTAAAATCATCTCTCTTCAATATTATCTCATAAAAGTTCTCGTTACTGGAGAAAGTCAATGAAACATAAACATTCTCATTCATAAACTTCTTTCTTATCTCATCTATACGCTTCAAAATGTCTGAACAATTGCTAACATCTTCTACAACAGTTATTTCATCATGAACGACTTTAAGAACAAGCTCATTTAATATGCTATTAAAATCATCTCAATAATGAGTCCATCCTTTCCATCTTTAGGTAGCACAACATCTTTCATTGAAGAAGGTTCGACAAGTCTTATGTTAAACTTACTGACAAAGTTTGTTATACTATAATGCTTCGGTGGCGAATACATGTAGTTTGAAAGACATAATATAGATTCTTCAGCAAATTCACTTATACTGGATTTTATAACAATGTTCTCACGAGACAAATACCACAATTGACAATCTTGTAAGCAATCCTGCTGAACCTTCTACTGTAAACGTCGATGGTAACATTCCACGAAGGTCATCTATTGACATCTTTGAGTCACTGAATTTAAATATTTTCTTAAAGCAATCGTCATTATCTAACCATGCAATAGCTTTGAAGTTTTCATTCGAATATACATCTGCTTCATTAAATGTAAAACCTGACTTCTTTGCAGAGACGACTTTAAAATCTATTGCATTTGTTTCAAAATTATATACTATGGTAACTTCTGAAGGTAATGGATGTCCTTCCGCAGTCAGTTGTTCTCTCACTACCGTTTGAAGCTTTGTGTTAAAAACTTTCATGTCATCTCCTGTGTCTAGGTTCACATACACAGCAACAGGAAAACTATCTTGCTTCTTTGTTTCATCATTATACCTCAAAACATTAAAGTTCTTCAATAATATTGTTCTTCCCTGCTGGAATACTTCTAACTTGTCTTATTTCAATAGCTTTCTCACCTCCTACATACTCTACCCAGTGTCTTGGATATTCATAAGTATACTGACTTTCTTGAATTTTGGTAGGTTTCATCATAACGTGTTCATAGTATATCTTTATACTCTTGTCAGTTAGACTCGGTGCTATGTTCTGAATATTTCTGACTTGCATTTTTAATGAAGATAAAATGAAGCATTTAATACATGACGTAGATGAAGACATGAATGAAAGCAGTGAAAAGCTCAACAGTTCTCTCATTCTTCCTTTCAGTAAGGACTATGAGTTCTGTTCAAATGGTGTGTATTTCTATTGTGGAAAGATGGGTTCAGGTAAGACATTTAACCTCATTCGTCATATACTCATAACAGAGCGTTTAGGAAACGACTCTTACTATGACCAAATCATTATATCAGCAACTTCAGACTCTATGGATTCAACAGCGAAAACATTTATGTCAAAAGTTCAAGCCTCTGTCGTTAAAGTTCCAGATAGCGAACTCATTGAATTTCTTCAACGTTACATTCGACGTAAGAGAAAATATTATGCTATTGTAGAGTTCATACAGTCAGGAATGCAAAAGACTTCAGAAGAGATGGAAAGAATTATTGACAAACACCACTTACGTCAATACTCAGGAGTTTACGATATGAAACGACTGACAAACTACATTCTATCAAAACTTTCAAAATACCCCTTCAAAAAGTATCCTTCAAATACTCTGCTCGTTTGTGACGACTTCGCCGGAAAAGGTTTAGTGTCAAAGCCTGACTCACCATTAGCTAACATCATAACTAAAGTCAGACATTACCATTTAACTGTAGCAATATTATGCAAACATGGCGTTTCCTTGCTTTAAACATAAAACGTCTCATAACTGACTTCGTTATCTTTCAAGGTTTCTCACGTTATGATATTGAACTCATTTGGAAACAGTCAGGTATAACATTACTTTTGAAGAAATTTGGGGAAGCATATAAGTCTCTCATCTCGCCTCGTTCATACCTTGAGATTCATATCATGACTAATACCATTAAAGTCAAAAATATTCCATGGGAACGACCAACATTGTTTTAAAGCTTAACCTTCAAATGACTGATGGTAAACAAATTCCATGCATCTCTGTCGCCATTTCTGTTAATATTTTTGCTGTCATTCATATCATCCACTTCCCCATCCGTTAACTTTTGAGGATATGCGTTAGAATAGCTGTTCTTAAATGAAGGCTTTTCACCTTTGAGAGCATAAACTCTATAATACTTTCTGCATACTTTATGTTTGAACCTCCTGAGCCATCATTGACATAAATTTTTATAGGTTTCCACCCTTTGTTCATATTCCTGCTTCTTCCCTTTGCTCTTTTGTTCAGTAGTTCTACATCTTTATACACAACACCTGTCTCGGTGAATTCAACAATATTTTCATTCGTTAGCTTTACATTCAAACCCTTGTCGAGTATATTGTTCATTCATACATATAAAAGGTTTTTATTCTATATGAAATGAGAAGCAAATCCATCTTAGCTGGTGCCGTTAATGTTCCAATTGAACCAACATCAAATGTTGACTCACGAACGACAAACAATATTGTCATAAAGAACTATAGTTCAGAGTGTTTGAAAGAAAAAGAA